TCATGTTTTGATGACATGTTCATTGTTGTGCCTTGAAATTCAAGTCTTTTCTCCTGCTATGCAGCTCAGTTTTTTCTTCTCTCAGCTCTCACTCTTATTGTCACGAGTCGTGTCTGTGATGATATTCATTGCATATCGGCGGATTCTTGTCATGTTGACACACTTCTTCAAGAGCAGTACATGACTGTATGTCGATTTCGTGTCTAATCAATAACAACAATAATCCACTCAGATATCCAAACATGTCTTTCTGCTTCGTAGGAGAGATCTGGTCGAGGGTAACATATGGAGAGCCACACTATTGTAGAAAGGGACTTGGGCATACCGGTACGTACATGTATGCATACCTGCCGCCAACTATCCCGATTTGGCCGGGACTGTCCCGGTATCGAGGGTGGTAATAGGCACCCAAAAGTGCATAAATTTTGTCGCGTGCCTCAAAGCTTTGTATACATGTCCATGCCAGGTATGTCACTATCCCGATCTTAGGTTTGCAACGGTGGGCAGGTATGCATGTGAAATAGGATCTTCTAAAAGGAGGAAGCAAGTGTGTGAATTTCCAGTTTCTGCTCTTGGGCAGTAGATAGATTTGTCCAGGCAGTAACAGCAGTACTCTGGCAAGATGTTGTTGTAGTTGTTGTTGTAGAATTTTATTTAACGTCGCACCACAAACAGGCGATTTCGCCTCCTTTGATACATGTGGACGACAGAAGGAATGAGAGAGAGAGGGGGGGGGGGGACAGAAGTACGGAGAGAGGAAGGGTAGAAACAAATAAGCAAATCAACCTCAGGGCTACACCAAAGCAAAAACGCAATGGGAACATACTATATATATTGAAAATGGCTTCATACATTATTGCAAAACACGTTTACTATTCTTCAGTCCGCTATACCACAGAAACACACTAGCCGAAAAGCATTTAAACGGAGCCATGATGCGCTTTTAGCAGGGCACAGAACTGAAGGTGGCTGGGTTCGGAACGGAGATCAGGCGGGAGCTGGTTCCACAGGACTGCGCCGATGAACTGTATGGTCGCTCGACCCGCAGGACCGGGCCAAAATGGTACTCGAACGAGGTGATGTGCTGCTCCCCGAGTGCGGTCACCAGTAACTCTCACGAAGAAGCTGGTGAATAGGGAGCTAGCTCGGGAGAACAGACAACGACGGACAAAGATGAGGAGCTTAATGATAAACATGTCCTCCAGGGTGGTGAGGCGGAGCTGTTTAAAGATCGGGCTCGTGCGCAACCACGGTGGCAGACCGAAGAAGCCGATGTGTGCATTATACAAAAAATGAGCGCAACAGAGGTCAGGAAGATGGGCAGAGTGTGACTATATTATACTTCTGAAGTACATTATGGCCTGACTTCTTCTTGCATGCAGTATGAGGGGCCTTTTGAGGGCAACATGATGATTCCAGGAAAGATTGATGTGGAGCACTAGGGGAGGGAGAGGGTAGCAGAGAGTAATACACAGTGGGGAATGATCATATCTTGGTCTTCCCGACGTTAGGCAGGATTTCGAGCAGAATCAAGGGTTTCGGGAGACCGAGCATATTCTGGTTATCATGCACACGCACCACGTGATCAGCTCATCCGCACCTGCCCACAGCCCTGGGATTACAAACTTGACAGCAATGAAGACCATGTACATGTATGTAGATGAAGTACTAGCCGTCCACAAACTCAGAAGAAGCAGCCACAGTCAGTGCTGCCTAGACGCCGATACGGCGATGGATCCCTACCAGAAGTATAACCATCTCTTCACTTCCTGTCTCTAATAGTGTGCAAGTGTTTTGGTACACATAGTCATGGACGTGTAGTCCATCATGGCCTACGCAATGCCTGCTGGCTAAAAAAGCGCATCATGGCTCCGTTTAAATACTTTTCGGCTAGTGTGTTTCTGTGGTATAGCGGACTGAAGAATAGTAAACGTGTTTTGCATGAAGCTATTTTGTATATAGTATGTTCCCATTCCGTTTTTGCTTTGGTGTAGCCCTGAGGTTGATTGCTTATTTATTTCTACCCTTCCTCTCTCCGTACTTCTGTCCCCCCCCCCCCCCCTCTCTCATTCCTTCTGTCGTCCACATGTATCAAAGGAGGCAAAATCGCCTGTTTGTGGTGCGACGTTAAATAAACTTCTACAACAACAACAACAACTGATCGACCATTGACGCTCTAACTCAGTTTGAGGAAAGGCATGGTGTCAGGTGATCTTTCAATCCGCGATCGTTCACTCGACCATGGATCGTCGAGGCTGATGAGTGATGTTTTGGACGATAGTGAACAGTGTCAAGCTGGGAGGAATGGCAAAGATAGAAGCTGCACTTGATAGGCATAATGCGGATAATGCCGGCAGAAAAATTGGCAGAATTCGGTACTTTTTCTGGTAAGTTTCATGCATGTTTGGTATGGGGATAAAGAAATGGAGCAGAATTCGAGGAATTGCCCGCCATAAGGTTTGTATGGTTCTGCCAATTTATTTCACTGCTTTTCGAGCAGAATCTGCCACCTTTTTGAGCATTATCCGCACGCCCACAATAATTATTATTATTATTATTATTATGCTCTATTCGCGTTAGCATCAGTGAGCTTATAAAGCTCACATATAGCCTTCGCTTAAGCCGCAAGAAGGAGCAAGTGAGTGCGAGGAAGCGCAATGCACACAGAGCGTCAAAACAAAACAAAAAAACAGAAAAAAGAGACAAGCTGCAAGAAGGAGCAAGTGAATGCGAGGAAGCACAGTGCACATCAAGCATCACAATCACAAAAAAGACAAGATGGAAACGCAAAGTTATGTCCATTGTTGCATTAGCGGCTACATACAACCTTCACCAGGTCCTGCCACTGAGGGCGATCCTGGGCGAGCTGCTGCAGCCTGTTGCAGTCATCTCCATTATCTATATATAAAGGTATAAATTATGTCCATTGTTTCATTAGCAGCTACATACAGCCTTCACCAGTTCCCGCCACTGTCGACGGTCTTGGGCAAGCTGCTGCAGCATGTTCAAGTCATCGCCAGTCTCTAGGGCGGTATTATTTTTCAGCTTTTTGAGATCATTATTGAGCGTTCGCGGGAGCGTTGTTCTTGGGCGTCCCCTAAAGCTGGGGCCGTTACCCCCTAAGAAGTAAGCTCCCATGGCACGTCTGGCTGGGGCTGCCTCTTCCAAACGCAGCACATGACCAAACAGCCTCCATCTAGCATCTCTGATGATTTGGCTCACGGGGCGAGATTCTGTGCGTTTATACAATAATAATAATAATAATAATAATAATAATATTGACTGGTTTGAGGGAAAGAGAATAATAATACTAATAATAATAATAATAATTCTCGTCTACGTTCCAAAGGGAACTCACGACAATGGAGTGACAAAAAGCACCGCGGCAGAGAGAGAGAAAAGAGAAGATATAATATTTGACGAAAACAATCACGGTGTAGATTTCACATGAGTTCCAATACACCACATCCTGGGATGTGTCCAAGCAGACGCCATCTCGCTCGCTTTGCCATAGCGGATATTGGCTCAGTGTGAGCAAGCTCATACAGGTCATCATTCGACACGACACGAGGGTAGAAGATACCAAGCATATGCCGAAGTTGCTTGCGATGGATCTTATCCAGGGAGTCTTCCAGTGCCTTAGAGAGGCCTGCGCAGCCAATATTGTACGTGAGGATAGGAAGAACGTATGCGTTGTAGAGTCGTACCATGGTGTTAGTTTGTAGATGTTGCCGCCGAAACCAGATCGCCTTCATTCGACCAAATGCCACAGCAGAAAGACCAATCCTGCGTGTCACGTCTTGTGCAGTGCCAAATAGAGAGCCCAGAGTCCTGATGCTTCTCCATTGCTCTTGACCACGGTGCACTGTCACAATGTACCCGGTTAAAACAGCTCCTTTTTGAAAATGTTTTCAATGAGTGATGTGTCGCTTTGTTTTGCTCTAATTGGTGCTTTTCTCCAATGTCATGCAGTCGTATTTATTCAGCTTTTATTTCTTGTGTACTTGCATACTGGTATTAGTTTAGTCCCACAACCTGCCATAAAATGATCAGCTGTAGCACCTACTCCACTTTTCTGTTTATGTATCGCCCTAGTGGTGGCCTGCGGAAGCGAAGGCTAGTTTGTGTGTTTCTGAACATTCAAGCGATGCCAACGCGAATCCCGCGAATTATTATTATTATTTATCGCCCTTCTCCGCATATATATTCTAGTGATTGTTAGTCTTGGTCATTATGCTGTCTGATGAAGTGTTCTGACACGAAACTCGGAGTAACAGCGGAATGAGACTTGTTTGATTCATTGCTGTGTAATATTTGTATGTATCAGATACATAGATTCTATGTCATTCGGATCTTCCCAAGTTGTACAATGTACTGTTGAGATACCGAATTCAAATACCAATACCATACCCCTATAAGGCTATATTAGGCTATAACGCCTAGCACTTGCACTTTCTGTGGTAGATCTACAGACTGTGCACCGGACCACCGCGTACCGGTGCACGATCAGCACGTGATGTGATTGTGTGTTGTAGCTGTGGCGTGTGGGTGTGTGGGTCTAGACGTCTGTGGGACTATATTTTTGTAGTCGACTGGGCCATGGGCCCGGCCGCGCCGGCCATATCATGCGCCATGCATGGCATGCATGGGCGTACCTTTTTCTTTTCTTTTCTTTTTTTACCCGGGCCGCGCCGTGCCCGTAGCGCGCTAGCGCATGGTAGATATGGTCACATGGACAAGGTAGAGCTCATGACATCATCATTCTGACACCCTGTAGCCATGGCCACGGCAACCGAGCAAGGCGAGCATTGTACTTGAGTATTCGCTGGCATGCATTCGAGTGAACTCTTTCTTCCCGTATCTCGCTCATGCTCAAGTTTATTTTTTATTTATTTTTTTATTCGCACAGCAGAAAAGCAACCAACAGAAAATCACGGAGTCATAGCAAGCATGCTCAAGATCAAGTAAGCTGGGTCTATTGGTGAAAAACACTACAAATGTTTATCTTGCCAGCATCTGACAGGTGGCCTGTACTCGTACTGATGACAACAAAGCTCAACGACAAGCGACGTAGATTTCCAGCTTGCCAGGCCGAAGTCGGCCAAGAGTTTTTTTGTAACTGTTGCTAGTGAAGGTTTTGTGATCGTCTTGAAAAGAAACAGTACTCGTACATGGCCTTTTCTAATCATCATTTCTAGCAAGCTTGTTCAGTCTACAAAAGTCATTATTGTACGTGATTTGGGTCGTACATCGATCGTTGTGAACTGTCTGAACTTTCAAATCGCGCCCTCGTCTCTTATCTGGATATCTGTTCAAACTTCAAAACCAACATATTGTTCGAACTCAATGCAACATAATGCGTGGACGGCATTTGACTTACAAGTGTTTTCCGTAATAGTTTCGTGGTATGGAATGAGGCCATGTTTGGCATCGATTGAGTTACGACAAGGAAGCTGACTACGCACAGCCGTGTGAGATTGAAATGGACCACCGACTCCGGGGTGGCGGAGAGAGTGCCATTAGTTCTTGGTCTTTACAGACGCAACCAACGAACCCTGTCACCAAGTTCCAGCCATGCCTGGAAAGTTTGTTGGATAGCGAAGCTAGCTTGTGGGGTTCGCCTGAGCTGCGAGTTGTGGGTCAGGAAAGTAGCCATCCTATCCTTACAACCGCCTGGCATTCCCACTCCCATGAAGGCCAAGCTCTCCTCAAACATGGCAGCTTAGTGACTCCAGTACATGACTACTATCTGAACCTAGAGAAGAACCGCTGCTGTTTGACATTGGCTGGTCGGCGACATGTCATTAATTCTGTACGAGTGGTGCATGATAATACTGTACCGGAGCCCACCTCGCCGCCACCACCACAGCAGCATCGTGCAGTGCATCCCCGACATGGCGTGGCTAATCGGAGCAGTCGGCAAAACCCACGCCGTGGAAGCGAGGTCGTGCTGGCTGGTGATAACCTCACATTGTATCAGAGCTCTTTGTTGAGTGCCTTCTTGCCTGTTCTTGCTGCCCCCGGTCCACCGAGTCCGTTTACGCCCGCAATGGTAGCTACACCAACAGACGTCACAGCCACAGCAGGGTTCTCTTTCGGTGGTGCTGCTACAGCTGGGGACAAGGAAGTGCCGTCACTGCGGATGAGTGCTGCTGCCAGTGCCTTGGCCAATTTGGAGAAAGACTTTGGCTCAACAGGTGAGCTGTCGTCGTTTGTGTCCTCCATAGAGCACCAGTATGATCGTCAGGGAATCAAGAAAGGTGCAGAGCCACCGGCGCTGGACTCAGTGACGACGGAAATGCTACGCGAGCTTGTTCGCTTGGTATTCCAGCAGACTGAGCAGCAGCAGATGTGCACGGAGCATGACTTGCGCGATGCCGTGGGCCGTCGTTCATACAGTGAGGTGCTTGCCCGGCATTTGATGGCAAGGCTCAGCGTACTAGAGAATAACTCGCACCAGTTCTATCGGCCAACTGCGTTTCTATGTCCGCAAGCGTATGATGAATGGGTTCAAGGTGAGAAACAGCACATCAAGCAGCTGCTGAATCGCTTCTGGCACTATTCTCTGCCCCATCCATCCAGAACATCATCATCTGCATCCTCATCGAGTCTGTCCACACGCTTGCTACGTGCTGATCACCACGCCGCATATATGCAACTGCTAGATCGTGTTGTGCACCAGCAGGAGTCGATCAAGGGCCACCCTGGTGTTCCATTGCTGCCCACTGCTCGACGTTTGCTCAAGGAGTTTGCGCTACGGTTCGGTGTTGGTGAGCTGTTTTGTCGCATTGCTTACCTGCGTCTGCTGAGCCAGAACATGGAGCACGACGTGTGGTTCTGCCGACATGTTTGTGTCTCGCTGCTGGCTGTACTGGAGCTGCTGCCTGTCAAGCCATCACAGCGCACCACCGCAGTCAAGAGTGAACTGGAGCGACTTCATGAAGCCGTGGCCACGCTGCATAGTCACATTGACCACGCGCTAACTCGCATACACATCCTCTTTCCTGGCAATGCACCGCCCGATGGCATCGCGTCCATGCTGCAGCTGCTGTCGCTGGTTCTGTTTACTCAACGCTATCTGACCAACCAGCCTGGACAGTCGGTATCACACTGGCTACAACGCTACTTGGACGATGGCTTTGAGTGGCGCTTTGAGTACCACAAGACGGTGCTCTCTGCTGAGCTGGAGATCATGTCGGCTGTGAAGCCGCTCACACCAGCTCTACTCAACGGCCTCCTGGTTGAGATTCGCAACGAAGTACTGGGCCTGGCTGACTTCTACGAGCCATCGTTCAAACGCTACTTTTCTATTAGCCAGCTGGGACGACGTTCCTTCTACCAGCTGTTGATGAAAGATGTCCAAGAGCTATGCCAGTTCCAGCATCCCAGTGAGCAACTTGAGCTAGACATGCTTGCACTGATGTACCGCTTGGCAGAACTCGACAAGTGCTGGGTCGGCTGCATTGCTGTGTCAGAGCAGGTTTGGCGTGAACCGTTCTTCCGCTTGGTACTGTCATGGTTGCATGTGCTACAGAAGCATGCCGTGCGTTGGCTACTCACCGCCTGTATCAATGACAAGTGGAGTACGCTCACGCTGCCCGGCTTCGAGTCCCGTGCTAACGCTGTTGCTGCTGCTGCCGCCGGTGCTGTCCGAGTGCCGCTTACAGCAGCACCTGACTCTGGGGCCATCACGTCTACACCTGTCATGCCGGTTATGCGTGGCCTGCGCAGTACGATGGAGCAGTCTTCTGTGTCGCCCATGTCAAGTCTCTTTGGAGATCCAGAGCTGTCAGCCTTCAGCCGTCATGAAACCGCGTCCAACATGGCACTGGCAGGGTCATTGAACCTCTCCAGATCCGAAGTTCCAAGCCAGTCCTATGTGCCGACAGATTCCAGGACACACGTTTCATCATTGCCATCAGTAGCATCATTGGAGGACAGCCAAACGTCTCGCCGTACCTCCCTTCTACAGCGCTCCCTGGCATCCAATGATCTGCAAAATTCGCTTGACCGCATATTGTCTTTGCCGCTTGACGAGGGCAAGCTGCTCTCTCACACACCAGTGCTGACATTCATGTGTCGCGAGTCATCAGAATCGCTCAGTCCGCTTCCTACCTCTGAAAACCGCCTGTCAAGCTCTCAGCATGGTAGTCGACGAAGCAGCGGTCCCCTGCCAGTTACATCATCCTCTGTTGAGCAACAGCCGCAGCAGCAGCATGTTCAGCGTCCAGTTCTGTTTCGCAGTGACAACCTGATCCCGGCGCGTCCAGCCGTCCTGCAGGCTCCTCGCCTGAGTGTCATCCACTCTCACAAGAATGCGCTATTCAAACCCATGGCTAGGCCTGCCGGCGCTCCCGACCTGCGCAGCGCATCTCAGTTCATGCCTTCACCTGTGCCTACAAGCCCAGAGTCGCGTCATGTTCTTCTAGCTCATGCAGGCGGCGGTGGTGATGACGACAGTACAGTTATGGGTGGCCACTATGCTGCTGTTGCTGCAGGTGGTGGTGGTGGTGGTGGTGGTATGTTTGGAAGTCCTGTGAAGCCAGTTGCTATTGCTGCTTCTGCTACCGGTGGTGCCCAGCCATCCTCAGAGAGAGATCGTCATGATTCTGTCAGTAGAACGCGCATTGAAGAATGGGTGGCATCGCAATCGGAAGATAGCAGCCAAGATCGGGGAACTGCGGTGGCAGCTTCTCGCTCATCTTCATCGCGAGCGCCGACAACTGGTAATGAGCACCCGCAAGAACACCGAAGTAGTTCAATGCCTCGCAGTGACGGTGCCTTCCATCCCTATCACAGTCGACCGGACAGTTCTGCCTTTCAGCGCAAGATCTCAGCGCAAAGCAATGACTCAATACGCACTGATAGCTGGCAATCATCTCTCGCGCCCAACTTTGTTACCGGCTCAATGGCTGATCATGAAGCAGTATTACCAGGTGTTGACCGAAACCTTCCCGTCTCCAGTTCACTGATTGACTTCGTTGTTGTTCTGTCACGTTTGACAAACACCGTTGCCATGCTGACAGACGTGATCTGCCCAACCTCAGCTCTGATTGGTGGAAGCAGCAACAGTGGCAGTGGCGGGCTGAACAACTCGGCAGCAAGTTCTCCCACGCCTGTTGCACTGGTGTCCGGTCGAGTTCGGTCAGTCAGTGTGTCATCCGTCGGTGATGAAACAGAGGTAGCTGATGTCCAGTGGCACAAATCAATGGATGTTGCTGCTACAGCATGTGCTATGTACCATCACGTCTTCATGAGTGCATTGGACATGCTGTCGGAGTGTGCAACCTTGTACGCTGACAACATGCTCTGTGCTGATCTATGCGGCATTCCTGAAGGCATTGCTGCGCATCTCATCGGCCAGAGTCTGCTCGATCATATCAAGGCACAGCGTGAAGCTTGCTTGCTCTGGGGCTGTCGTCACCATGATGCGTCACAGAGATGTAGCAGCAGTAGAGCCGCCAGTCCTACGCCCGATGCAACAGCAGAGAGCGCAGCCGGACGAGCACCCATTCGCTACAGTTCTGTCCCATGCTCAGCCCAATGCGCCACCGGTGGTCTTGGTGGTGGCTTACCTGGTATAGAGCCAATAGCTGCCGAGATGTGCACGCGTGTGAATAATGTGATGTCTCTACTCTCCGCTTACCCGTTGTTGCAGTCCATCATGCTTGGCCAGGTGTGTCAGAAGTGGCAACTACCCGGTAGAGACAGCGGCCTACCATTCACGCCCAGCCTTGCACTAGGTCCTGCAGTGACGGGAAAGACGGACAAGCGTTGCAACGACGTCTGCGCACACCTTGGCCAGGTCCTGGACGGCATGATCTACATCATTGCCTATCGCATCAACCAGTTTGCTGCACCGTGTCTCCAGGAACTGCTCTCGTTACACCTGCCTGCTTCCTACTCTCTGGGTGAGCATCTGCAGCCTCTTGATCTCTACCTTTCACGCCATTTATCCAAGATAAAGCTGGCGCTATATGAGGAGTGCTTCCAATCTCTCCTGCTGGTCCTATGGAAGATGACGGTGCAGAACATTCACAAGGTCTTTGCCGACTGGCAAACAGAGAAGAAGAAGGTTCGTCTGGATGACCGGGCGTGCTTCCTCTTGCGTGTTACTGCTCATTTCATGCAGTTCTTCCACTCTTGCAAGGCCGGTCTGGATATGGAGCTGGTGTCCAATGTTGCACGTCCTCTTCTGCAGCTGCTTGATGTGTTCACCATGCCTACAGGCAGTCTTGCATCGCTTCATCAGCGACTTAGCCACCGCCAGCCTGATACTGCTGCAGGTCAGAACGGAATGAACATCCCGCCTGGTCTAGTCACTGCTCTGTATTCTGATCTACACGCTAAGAAGAAATGTTTCTCCGGTGGACAGCTGAGCCAACGCCTGGCAGCTCGATGTGGCCAGTTTGGATTATCAGGGGCGCTGCAATCGCGCCAGCGTCTTGCGCAGCATTTGCTCTCTTTCGGTGTCATTCGCCCTGTGGATGACAGCCAATCAGGACCATCGACGAGAATGCCTGCATTCCATGACAGCAACAGCGCCCTGTATCGCTTCACCGAGTCCGAAGAGAGCAGCTCAGACACACAGGTTGGACACCTACTTTCATCGCTGCAAGTACATTGCTTGGACTCTTCTCGCCTGGATGACAGTGCTGCCAGTACTAGTCGGGATGCTAGCAGTTCATCTCTACGTACTGCGAGCAGCAGCAGCACCAGTATTGCCATTGACAGCGTTGTCAATGCTCTTAGGAACCGGTGCAGCTATGATCGGACGGCCAAGGCGTACCTGTCTCGCTCCGGCCTTGCAGCTGCACCCTGACCCCAGTGTACATAGCTAGTTTATATCTCTGTCTTGGCTAGATGGTCTGCCTGACAGAACAAGTCTGTATCATGAACTTGAGATGGTATATTTCATTCGTTATCTGCACTCAAGTGGCTGGCCCATTGTGCGTATGTTTTTATATGTAGCGTTAATCCGCCCTCTCCCCTTTTTATCCTGTCTCGTCGTGCTTGGGCTGGGCGATCTGTTTGATGAGTCTTGTTTTTTTATGAAGCTTGTCGAGTTCTAAGAAATTATATTTCCTCTATGTTTTCTACCTGCATTCGGCCATGATATTAGTGTTTTATTCTGGCTCTTGAGCGAAGTTGCTGTCTGCTTCTCACCCCTATCCTTTCCCCTTAGGCTGTTTAGTAGTGTTGTACTTCAAGTAGTTATTATACGCTCACGTCTTGTAGTGCTTACCCGTACCAAGGTACGATCCAGTGTGATCTTTTTTTAGCCCTCTGTCAGTTGACTACAGAACATGTTTCGCAACATCTCCAGCCTACTTGTCTTGTATGATCTCTCTCTCTCTCTCTCTCTCTCTCTCTCTCTCTCTCTCTCTCTCTCTCTCTCTCTCTCTCTCTCTCTCTCTCTCTCTCTCTCTCTCTCTCTCTCTCTCTCTCTCTCTCTCTCTCTCTCTCTCTCTCTCTCGTCTCTCTCTCTCTCTCTCTCTCTCTCTCTCTCTCTGTCTCTCTCTCTCCTCTCGCTCACTCACTCTCTCTCTCTCTGTCTCTCTCCTCTCGCTCACTCACTCTCTCTCTCTCTCTCTGTGTCTCTCTCTCTCCTCTCGCTCACTCACTCTCTCTCTCTCTCTGTCTCTCTCTCTCTCCTCTCACTCACTCTCTCTCTCTCTCTGTGTCTCACTCACGTCCGTTTCTTGATGGGAGCAAAACAGCATGTTTTCATGAAACAAGTGGGGGGGGGGGGGGGCACAAAACGTGATCCCAGTACCTTGCGGTAATGCCATATCCAATATTCCATTCTTGAGTTGCCATGCTAAGATCTCCACACAGTTACCGTGTTGGGATCAGGGAGTCATACAAGCTGTTTGTACAACTCCCTGATTGTGATGCATTGCAAACGTAATGACTAGTACCAAGAGTAGATAAACAAGAGTGTGCAACTCCGGATCTCTCCTGCACAATCTGCAGATACCCCCGCCCACGGCGGAATTTTTTGTTGACGTCACCTTTTTTCAGAAGAATGCGCATTTCGCCGCAGAGCACGTGCTGGGCACGGACCTTGTAGTGTAAAGCCGACCAAGGCCACGAGGGAAAACTTTCCGAAAGACTCGCAGCTCGTGCGTCGTCGAAAAGATTACGTCAACAAAAAAATTCCGCCGTGGGCCTACCCATCCGCGAGTTGCACTCTGATCTACTCTTGCTAGTACTGACTGTATGTAAACCAGGCATCGAGTGCAGACTACTATACTTTTTTTTGAGGGTATATTAACATTTATTGATTTATTTTTTTGAAAAACGTAACTACTATACTGCAATCATGTGGAGTGTACTCTCTGATGTAAACTGGCATCAGGTTCATAATAAAAATGATCTTGATTGGCTGGCAGCAGGGCAAGATCTGATAGCAGACCAAGACGCCCGACCATGCCAGGGTGACAAACAATCAAAGCGAGAGTCCACTATTCAATTCGGCAAGGATTTATTGATACACTTAACGAAAGATTGACCGAAGGCCAAGGTGATATTAACAGTAAGATGGGCATTGACGACCAACACAACGGATTCAGATTGGCCCAGCCAACATAGCATCAGGAATAAAGGGAAAGCTTAACAGGTACACACTACTAACGTATCTCTAGAACATGACGATCTATGTCACTTCTAAAGAATACACAAGAAAATTGCCCGCTAATGGCCACATAAAAGAAAAAACGACCGTGACCTTAAATGCAGCCTACGTTCGAGCAGGAAGGACAAGAGAATGGGAAGGGGGAGCCATTCTCTATCTCTACTCACAGACACTACTACACACGACTCCGGGCCGAGTGCAGCATGCCAAAAGGAAACAAAACACAACATGAGAGAGAGATACATGGTACAAGGTGCACAAATGCAACAAAAAAAAAGCAAGAACGCATGAGATCAACTTATCAAGCTGGTGGTCTAAATAGTGAGTTCCAATTATTGTGCTAACAAAACAAGGGCAGTATCAAGTTGATAACTTTCGTGATATAACTATGAGTGGAAATGTGTCAACATCAGATAATTGCAATATATTGTACAAGATACGAGCAAGACTGTATGGAGTTACTTGCATACAAGAGAGAGAGAGAGAGAGAGAGAGAGAGAGAGAGAGAGAGCTTGGTCGTACTTGCTTGCATACCGGTACATGTAAGGGGTAATCAATGTCAGGATGGGAACAACGGGTATATCAATAGTCCATTTCAAATTCATCTGTCCAGTCCGTTGGAATCTCATCCTCAAAATCACCTCCACTTTCATCCTGGCTGTTCATGCCGGACACACTGAAGCACAAGAAACAACAAGAGACACAGACATGTAGTCACAAAAATCAGCCATCGCCGGTGCTTACTACCGTCCGGTGGCTTGAACACACCCCACCACCTGGAAATCATCGTGATCATGTTTCGGAACGGGGGGATGAACGAGTACTGTTTGCAGGCTATACAAGTGATATTATTGCAATTTCAGCAAACATATTGCATATGGCGCAGCCAATCTGCACTTATATCACCTTCGGGGCAGCGAGCTCCACACAGGAATAGTCAGCCACGCCTGACCCGAGTACACACAAGTTCGTACAACGTTACGTATGACTTTTACAAACTTTGTAGTTGCACTCGGCGATGCACCTTTCTCTTCCCTGGCTGTAAAGTCAAGATGGGTGCTCCGGCATTACTTGATGATCTGAACAGTACTTCCAATCGACTACACACCCTTTGGAAGTTTCTCTGAACTCTACCAGATCATGAGCAGCACTACATTGTGCTAGCCATGGATAGATGCAAATATAGATGTGAATAGACTGATGACCTATGCTAGTGGAAGCAAGAGCATGAAGGAACAGTACATGTAGATGCACACTGGTTAGTTGAGTGCACACCAAACCCCAAGTGATATCTACCATCGGTTTCATTGGCAAATGCTGCACCAGTAACAGTACGTAGCACTTCAATAGCAGCTGCGGGCGCTAAAGGAGTAACGTTATGCATACAACATCTGAGCAATTAGTACCTTGTGGCGCGGCAGGAAAAGAAAACGATGCGTTTCTGCTTGGTGTCGAAAAAGAAATAATTGAATGACCAGAGGTTTCCCTCTTCGCTATAGGGGTCAGAGTGAAGGTCAGGATTGTAGCTGCAGGACACGAGCACACAAAATACACACCGTGGCAAATGTAATTAGTTCTCTGACACGCACGCAGACACGCATTTTAGTTCACAATAGTTCTACTGCCCATGTTCTCAAGAAAGCCTACGCACCCACACACATACCCCACCCCACAAACACACACAGCTGTGCAAAAGGCCCAGGAACCACAACCCCCAGGCACACACAGGCATAGTTCAGAAAGACAGGAAACCCCGCAACAGACACTTGTGAGCGTACCTGTAGATTTCACAGGAGGAGAGGTCGACTTCTGTCCCAATGGATTTCCACAGCGGTGACTCTAGTCTGCTGAATTGTTCACACCGACTGCCCGACATGACTGTGCGGATTGCACTGGCCACAAAACTGTAGCTTGGTTCACGGCTGAATGAGTTGGACTTTGCATTGGAAAAGTCGTAGTCTGGCTGGAAGGAAGCGTTCATGGTGGCAATCAGATAATACAGAGTGCGCACATCGCAGCTCTGTACAAACGGCAGCATGCCCTCCACTGGTAAGGAGCTGCTGTTGTATGCATCGCTGACACTACGCTTGAACGAGCCAGACAAACTGGACAGCAGCAACAGAAATAGCACAACACGAACAGAGATACCGGCATGTCACATGGACTTAGGCAGGCCTCATTATACATGTAGGTAGTAGTCGTTACAGATGAAGTAGGCAACTCACCAGCCATCGACTGGTGAACCAGCTTGGTAGACAGCTTGCGGCGGAGAAAGAGCCTGGTACTCGGGAGCATCGTGGCTGTGCAGTTTGAACTGGCGCTTGTCATCCGATGTCATCTTACACGAGTAGCTCTCCAGTCTAAACACAGCATACACAATCCACACACACCATGTTTTATTCCGGATTACAATAAGCATCAACCTAAACCATGATAACATGTTACGGTTCAGGCTACGCACAAGGAAAAGAAGAGGGCACATGAAATGCGGTTCACTGCCCTGGGGTATGCGTGTATCTGGATTCGCTAAACGAGCTGTAGCTGAGGTACACGTGCTTCCTTTGGTGTCCATCATGCATGTGCCGTGCCAAACGGCCCCGGGCACGCAAAAAAACTAAAAAAAAATCATGATCGCCCAGGGCCGAAATTTCCGTGTTCACTCCGCCGCTGCTCCATCAACATGTTGTCCTATCGCAAAGAACTTTATTCCCGTAGCTATGCAGAAGACGTTACTTCAGTAACGTCTGGCGCTAGCCAGGGTCCACACAGCTTTAATTTGGTATTTATTTATTTGTTTGTTTGTATCACGCCTGGCCCTATCCCGTATCTGTCCCGTACCGTACCATCAAAGACAGCTGGCCACAAACAGCTGGTCACAATATTCAAATAGGGCTTTCAAATGCAAGATCATAACGTGAAGAAACTTGGAAGAATGAGTATGAATGCGAAGTCTATCGGGGAATGCATGTAGGGCGATAGTGCGGGTTCGAATCCCAGGTTATGCCTTGAAAAAATAAGGAAAAATGAAATTTTTATAACATCCCTATGCTTATTTTTGCCTAGGTCATCAAGGCAAAAAAGCATAGCGTAGGGCCCTGAGCTTCCAAGCTCTCTCGTATCCCTGGAAAGCTGAGCTCAAGACCTTTCAAACGGTGTATTGATTGACCTATGTTTAACGGAGTTACGGAAGTTTGTACACTGGTCTATGCCCTACGATATACTGCGCAAATCTCGTGACGTCGGTCGTTTGGCGTACAGCGCGCATGACGTCAAGAGTTCATAACCCACAAGAAAGTTGAACCCAACAAGGGTTGCGTACAACCCTGTATCTACCATGCACAGGGTGCAAATAATGTGTACGGGTCCATCACGTCATGTGAAGTTCTGCCGTCGGAGACTCGGAGGGTTTCCATGAAAGAAAGCAACGATTTCCGCATCATCACTTTATTTCCCACCATTTGCACACGTATCACGTACAGAGTACGATTTTTGGCAAAAAAAGAATCCGGTAGACCCAGTCAACCCTGCTCCCCGAGGTGGGTCGACCGGATCCAAATCCAAAGGATCCGAATCCGGATTCGACCAATCGAAAGAGTGCGAATCCAGTGGATCCTGCCAATCGAACATGCCCTAAGATGTAAATTTGAAAAAATAAGGGTGGCAGTTTCCAATGAGTAGACTGTAGCTCCCGGATTATGCTGAACGTCCTGCTTCACGCTGCATGCAGAGCAAGAAATCGTATAAACGTTGTACCGATACCATACTACAGCCAGGTCATGGACGCTGCTACAAATATTGTGCGAACTTTGCTCTTTGCTCAACTGCATGATGCGAGGCCATCCATGATCTGAAACATACGTTCATGGGCAGGTCACCTGCCAAACTTTTCAAACTCCGAATCTCTTCCGCAGAAAATCATTCCTGGTGAAGTTTTTGTTCAGGTACCGTATTTTCCGGAGCATAAGCCGCACTTAACCCTTTATTGGCCGGCCCATACATTGATCGAACACCGATGTTCGATGGGGTAGGCATTTTGAAATTATCGTAACTTGGTCAAATCTCGGTCTTTCGGAGAGATCGAAATATGTAGGTCGAAGAGAAAACTCTCAGCTGTCGCCTCAAACAATTTTCAAAGCGATACAAAGAGTGGTTCTTGAGTTATAGCACTCGTAATAGCACTCGTAATGTTGGTCCCGGGAAATTTGCGCTCAGAGCACGATGTGTGGGTCAACGGCCGGGATTTTCCCTGCTTACGTCACCTGTTGACAAGGCTACACCGATTCAACTTGAAACGTAGGTTCCCAGGAGTCTCTACGAATTTTTTTGAGTTTGATACGAGCAACAGGAGTGAAATGGTGGATAGAGATAGATCTTGAGCGTGAGCCCAGCGCTGGTGGGCCTTCCCTGGCTTGCAGCGCTGGGCCAGTGCAGCCCGTAGAGTCGAGTGTACGCTCATTGTGCTCCTTTTCGTCAAGGCCTTTCCAGGATGCCCAAGATCGTGGAATTTGCCCAGTGCAAACTAAAGTTACGTCCAATTTAGGTACAGGCTTGGCGATTGCGTGGGCTTGTGTATATTTTAATCGGCCAATAGAGGGTTAATCTTCGAACACTCAAAATTCACCCAAAAAAAGGGGGGGGGGGAGAAGGTGTGGCTTATACTCAGGTGATCAAATAAGTAACGGTGGTAAATAGGATAGATGTCTGCATTTTGTGGCAAAAAGAGGGGGTGGGGGTGGCGATAGTCTGGAAAATACGGTAATTATGAATCATGGAAACCCGTCATATCATAGGTTCCGTGGCTTATTCAGTGCTAAATTACCATAAGGCGATAGCAGGGATCTCGCGTGCTATTTACACCTTTGTTACGACAAGCAGCAATCGCAACAGAAATCATCTTGGCGATACGGTAAAATGACCATGTGAACCAGTGCGAGCTGCAGCAACGGTGAGTCACTTTGACATAAACCTGTCCCCGGGAAAAATTGCGGAAAAAATCGCAAAAAACGCGGGGAAAAACGCGGCATAATAAGGCATAATTTGCGGTGAATTTGCGGTAAATATGCGGTAAATATGCGGTGAATAATATTGATGTGCGGCAATTTTCAGTGAGTACGAGGTGATTAGCGAAAATTTTACATTGGATATTTCTTTACATTTTCTGTAAACTAAATTTCGTTGTCGTCGAGACATCTCCTTTAGGAAGTAATCTTTGACATTCGATTAGATATTCCGTTAGTATTATCAGTATAGTTCGTGTTGCAGCCGAAGTTTTTGTTTCTGCGACTCCGCCATGCCGTGACGAGGCCTCAGTATTTCGTTGTGCGTAGTAAATTGCTATAACAATAGTGTAAACCAGCATGATATGGAAGAAACCAGGTCGCGTATGCAGCTTAGGTCGGCAACCGCTGTTGCTGATGGCATCACTGATGGCTTTTCCAATGAAAACTCGCCTTCTGTAGAGCGCTCGACGGCCACAGGCCCCACACAGACGCCAAACCAAAACGGGCAGAAAAGAGCATAGTTGCTGTTGCTGACTTAGACTACGGACATCCGAGCCAATGCGACCAATGCTGTTCTATTGGAGGCTCTGCGCGTCCAGCTGGATGTAACCAATGCCAGTGAATCTGAGACCAAGCTCCAAGAGTTAGCATCATTGTTTTACGATGTCCCAGCTGGAGATGCTAGCCTTGCCACCAGCCACTTGACTGCCGCCAGCACAGTTGGAAGCGGACCTGTTTCTGCTACGTCTTCTTTATCTACCGACACGTTCGCTGCAGAGGATATGCCGTCTACTGCTTCCCTTGCTTCTAGCTGCGATTCCTCCGTCCACATTCACAGTCGGGCAGCCCTGAGCACAGCGTCCTTCAGTAGTGCTTCTCTCCGTTGAGTGTGGGCGAATCAATGGTGCCAGCACTTGTCTAACTCAGTGATGGCTTTCTGCTTTGCATTCAGTATGTGGTCACAGTCTGCTAATGCTCGGATGTTACTTGCCTGATGTCAGTTTATTACTTTTTGTCCTAGCACCAGTTTGGCATTCTTTATTTTGAAGTTTAATGGCGGTGATTTGCTCCTGCTGTGAGTGTGGTGTGTGGGTCAATTTTCAAGATGGCACTTGAAAGTGCAAGAATTTGTGTTCTGTTTTGACTCTATTCGTGTTATTTGTGTAGTGGCGTACCTATACATGGGTGTGTAGGTTTCCATATAGCCTTGTTATGGTATGTTACCTGTGGTTTACACACATGTAAAAGAATATACAAGTGTTTTGAGGACTGAAAAACGACCTATTTTGGGTCACCTGGGAAAGTCTACATTGCTGTTAGGGAAGTCGAACTGTGATGGCATGACACGAGACATAGACAATTCTACCATGTTAACTACTATAAGTCATGAAAAAAGGGCATTGGCTATGAATGCAGGGCGAGTTTACAAACGTGTAATATTTTTGCTAATCACCTCGTATGTAGTGAAATCAATCAGTTACAAGTCTCTGGTGTAAGCACTGGTCATATTTGAGTAAAAATCCGCCACGATGAGACGTTGCTGACCGAACAGTGCACTGTGTGTACGTGTAGTGTAACAAAAAAGTTCAAAAAACGCGGGAAAATCGCGGAAAACGCGGTCTTTTAAAAAATCGCAAAAAACGCGGAAAAAAACGCGGCCGCGGAATCGCAATTTTCCCCGGGGACAGATAAACAAAAAACTTCGCCATGGGACGATTTCCCCGGAGCCGCACACTCTTGTTTGTGTTCTCTTGCCGGTACATGCACTCTTCGGATCTTGCTCACTGGGTTAGCGTGTGCGTATATTATCCGCTATAGTTGCCATAAGAGAATATCTGTGGATGTGTATCCAGTGTATTGGCAGATCTGCGTGCTTCTCTTGCCATGGGTGTACATGCTGTGTGTGTGTGAGTGTGTGTGTGTGTGTGTGTGTGTGTGTGTGTGCGCGTGCACTGTGTGTGTGTATTGGTAAACACTGACAAACACTCACACAAGAACGTCAAGATCCTAACTAGACCTTAGGCACCCTTCTTTCCAAAAAATACCAAAGACGCGTAACGATCACCATGATCACGGAGAAAAGTAAGCGCCCGAAACAGGAAAAGCGGTCAGAATAGATGTTCAGTGGAAGCCAACGATCATGATGATACGGGTACGGCAAGCCTTGTGAATCAAGGCAACTGCAGGTTTTGATGATTTACCAGTACTGAAAGGATTAAGCACAAGTATGTAACCAGCAACCCAGGACAAAACCGGCAAGAGCAATCATTTTGAAGGGTAACTCACTTGCACTGGATCTGAACTTCTCCATTCTCTGTGCACAGCGCGTTGCTCATGCACTCCAGCTGGGCATTCTGCAAATACTTCATCTTGCTCGTCTCAGAGCTTCAGCTTTCTACTTCGGTCTTGAAAAAGACTTGAAGACACTACTTCTGTAATGGTTACAAAGAGTCTGAACGGACAGTAAGAGCGAGCACGCCATAGAAGTCAAAGGAGAAATCCTTCCTCGCTCTCTTTTTCGTATGCTGACTGCAAATACACTGTGCGAAGAAGGTGAGGAAAGGGATAAAAGGTCACACTACGGTTACTTCAAAGCCTACATAAAAGGCATCGGTTGGTAAAGGGAAGTGAGAAAGGATTATCTGTCACGTCTGGAAACTTTTACTTGGGGATTGAGCAAGACAGCGAAAAGTCTTTGCAGTGGCACTGGAATCGCGTCACTCTCTACTTTTGGTACAAACAACGCTTTGACTTGTTGTACTTGTACTGTTGTAGTTTGAGTTTGAGCTTGACGTGACATGTGAATGGTGCAGTGCAGTGCAGTGCTAGTGTGCTACGCGTGTACGTATACCAGGTCACCAGGGAGTCGTCAAATACCGGTATTTGACGACTCCCTGCTGGTCAGTGGTCACCGTACATGCGCATGCACAGCTTTCAAGCTACAGACTTTCTGCGCTGCAGCGCTGCACGGTCATCGCTACGGATAGAAGAGTAGATCATGTAGATGGGACCGTTACCCCATGTGCGCGGAGACCCGCACATCCCCGCGCTTTTTTACTCACGATTCAGCTAGCGCCTCTTGTTTCAAAATTTCAAGAAAGTCGAAAACAGGCCAGATAAACCATGGTTATTATAAGCGAAGTAGTTGACTGTACGTCTAGGCACCGGGCAAATATGCTCGAAAAATCACCCATCATGCTTTCTCGCAATTCTTACAATACAGCCAATTATGCCTGAAACCATGCCGATAATTCCCGGAAATGCTCATAAATTGAAGCTTGAAATTCGGTTTTTCTTCGTATCCCAACACATGCCCGTGGGGAATTTGAAAAATAAGTTTACGTCTAAAATCTTTAGGAAATTTAGATGTTTGGTGCTCCTAAAACACCATGTGTTCCACGACATCCATAGCCTTAGTGATGATTATGCGCTAACTACCACAGGATTACCGGTACTTTTCCTCGGTAAGGAATGGTCATAAATACAAGTAGGCACCGGGTAAATATGGTGGTAAAGACACACCTTCAACTTCATTCTACCGGGTAAATATGCTCGAAAAATCACCCATCCTGCCAATTATTCCCGCGAAACCACCGATAATGCTGATGTGATTTTTGCACCCTAAAATGCTTGATTTAGTGCCGGCATATTTGCCGGGTCCCTATGTACGTCTGTATGTCAATGCTCTGCAGATCTGACATGCGCAGATGATGCTCGGCCGATCGGATAGTCCCATAAAAATAAAAATAATGATAAAAATAATTTTAATTATTGGATCGATCGACCTTATTATTTTAATTACCGGTATTCCTGTGTACTTGTACATGTAGTGTAAGTAAGTAAGTTAGTTGTAAGACTCAAACTCAAAGGCAAAGCTTCTTTCTCCGAACCCAGACCCTGCAGACTAGCCCAGCGAGTTAGTTTAGTAGCTACTACTAGTAGTTGGTTCACGGCGATCACGCGAAGTGCTGCTCGCACTGCAGTGCAGGCAGCCTGCTAGTGCTAGAGCTAGGGCTCGATCAAACTGGAAAAGGAGGTAGCGATTCGTCGTTCTGGTCAGCAAATTAATAGTCATGTCGTCAGAGGGTCGCTCTGCCAAGCTTGGTCAACCATCCCAGCATGCAGCCTGTCAGGCCGGTAATACCAACAGTCCTGAGCGAGGCAGCGCGGCAGCAGTAGCTACCTCAGGACTTACTGCTGCCGCTGCTGCTGCCAGTAGGACTGCCGGCCCTGTGCCGCGTATGAATGAGGGAGAAGAGGAATTTGAAGACGAGGAATCGAAATATATCGCCGATGATGAACTAGTCACAATGGATATCAAAGATCTGAATCGGCGAATGCGAGAACTGAACAAACGGGAGCAGGCACGTATCAAGCAGAGGCGCAGGACGCTAAAAAACCGTGGGTACGCGCAGAATTGCAGGTCTAAACGCCAGTCAAAAGCCGACTCGCTGGATAAAAAGAAATCTGAACTGGAAGACGAGATCAAAGCCATTCGGGACGAACTGAAGGCTGCCAAGGTAGAGAGGGATAGTGTTAAAGCACAAGTTCATCAGATTGTTGGCTCAGGCCCGAAAGAAAAAGACCAGCTCCGGCAAGAATTGCTCGCTATCAAGAGGACTATTGGGCAGAGACAGCAGCTTAGACAGCAGCAACAGCAGCAGCAGTCGCTTGAACTGGCAGCTGCAAGGGGGCTTTCACCTCCACCACCGGCACTACTGGACTTGCACCAAGACTCCCTGTTATAGCCTGCACTAGCCTGCATGGTCATTTAGATTGAACTTTGAAGCTAACTAATGAACTGTCTCAGCCTCAACCTCTGCGGACTATTACCTACTGAAGTTTTCAAGCGGCTTGGCACCTGCAATGTGCAAATAAAGAACGTCCACCTGGGTAATGCACATCTGAAGCTGCTCAGTGAATGAAAATCCAGTCGCGTCACTCAAGTTTGCGCCTTGCATCATTTCGCGTCTCATGTTCGCAGGTCTATGGCTGCGCAACGCCCAGCGCCTACTTGAGTGCGGCGACAACGACTGGATTCCATTGGCTAGTACTGTATATCAATAGAATGCGAAGAACACGAGTGAAGCAGGAAGCCGGAGAGTCGGAAGAACTGAGCCGCCCTCCTAATTTGAGGTGATTACGTTCTTGGGAACTGTGTCGTTGACGTAACAGCATGATGCGGTTTAGACTGAGGGCATTCAGGCTGCTAGTTGAATGGTCTTTATGTATGCATAGTATCCGCAATACTATAACGTCCGTCAAGATAAGCTTGGCCGCTCATTGCAGATTCATGTTAACAGCAAATAGAGCCATCATCGTTCCTGTATGGTGATGATCCGGGACTGATACCTTGAATAAGAAGAAAGAATTCTTGAGTGTAGCAATGAATAGCAACGCATGTTGAGTCTCAGCCGTTAGTTTTCCACCATGAAAATCCTCCCCCCACTCTCCCTCTCAATGATCGTCATCCATGTTGGCTTATTCAGCTGTGACATCATCCATACCTGTTTTACCGGCTTATGTGCTGCAGTTGAGCTTACGCACCGTATGAAATTATGTGGAAATCATCAATTAAATTGTCTGTCACCAACTTTCTGAAGTATATCGTAGCATACAGTAATAGTTACATTGCAATGATGCTGGTCAAGTGAAACAAATATGTTCAGGATATTTCAGGGTCCATATCTTGTAACTTGTCAGTGTGCGTGTGTGAGTGTGTGTGTGTGTGTGTGAGAGAGGGAGAGAGAGAGAGAGAGAGAGAGAGTGTGTGTGCGTCACAGTGCTTGCTGCTGCTGCTGCCTCACGGAACTTTGCTTTGGTGCCATGTGCTGTGACCCTGACGGCCAGAATATATGTATGTGTACGGAACGCATGCTCTATGTGTACGGAGCGCATGCTCTGTAAAGCTTGTGTCGCTCCACTGCTGCTGTATAGTGGTGCGAGTTGGCCGATTCTTTGTCTTGATGAGCAGCGCAGTCTGGATAGTTTCCACCGCCCAGTGTCTCAGAGCTATCTGCCGTGTGCCACAATGTCATCAGGTGACCGACCAAGAGCTAGCTTGACCATGTCACTGATGTCGATCTCCCGCGGCAAGCGAGGGGTAAGTCAGATTTACTGTCGAATGTTATCAGGAGACGCCGGCTCCAATGCTTGGGCTATATGCGGGCACTGATGCTGGAGAACCAGATGCCCCAGCAGCTTACTGCCTCAGACCCAGCCTGCTGCTCATGCCAGTCATGGACCCGACTGACTGCTGCTCATGGCAGTCATGGACCCGACTGACTGCTGCTCATGGCAAGTATTCACACATGTACACGCCACGTTACCATGGTTACTGCTGCCCATGGGCCGGGGTAGAGAACTTAAAATACTTTGGGTCTCACTCTGGGGAGTGGCATGCAGCCGTGGTGTGCAGACAGTGAGTGCATCATGCAGGCAGAGGTGTCCAGTAAAGACATGAAAAGAACGCTTTTGAAAAATAAATTGTTCCGACATGCAGTCCAAGACCAATAACAAGCTCACCTAGTGACCTACCGGGCTTATCATAACTCTCAAACCAGCTACATTGTAGATGTGTATTGTGTGGAGTTTTCGTATTATTTTGGTCAAGATTTCAAGTAAGTTCCGGCATGGAATTGATATCGACACTGGTTTTGGTGTGAAGTTGTGAAGGTTCGGACCGTTTTCATGCCTATGAAATCTTCCAGAGTTCATGCAGAGTGCAGAATGATCGCAGAATTCGCTGCTCAGTACATGTATTTGCTGTTTTAGCGAGGGAGATCAGGGCAGAACTTCTGATAAGAATTGCATGGATTGAATTATGTGACACCAAAGGCAGCGAAAATGCTACAAGTATTTACATTTGAACTGATACAAAAAGGCACCCCCAGTACAAAACAAGGCCTCCAAAGCAGGCACAAGCATAGCAGATAGAATAATCATCACAACTATACTGTCAAGAATAAGAAATGAAATACGATGAAAACAGGTAAAAAAATTAAACAGATACAAAGATTGCGTTTTGCTATTTTAGGGAAAGAAAATTGAGTCGGTACTTGTTTCCCAAACACCTTGGAATCCTTGACAAGCCACCTGAGGTAAGTATAATTTAATGAGACTAAACCTGTGCGTGTGAATGAAATAATATCCACGGTGATCTAGCAAGCAATACGGGGCTGCAGTGATCTAGCAAGCAATGCGGGGCTGCAGTGATTTTCATCACAAGTATGTACAGATTATAATTATGGTATGGTGACATCGGTGTTCAAAGGCCAGAGGTAAAAACTAGACAGGGTGAGGCCAAAGGCTGGAAAGAATTGTCTTACACACATTACACACCTACTTCAAGTACACACAGCACCAGTACAGGTGCACACAGCACCAGTACTGGTGGACTGGTGAGAACTGAAAAGAATATATGGCAGCTACAGATAAGCAGCAATACATGCACGGGAATAATAGAGATACGGAAACAAGGACGGCACCAAGCAAGCTAACACGCTACAAGTAACAACGGTGCATATACTACAGAGCAGCAACAGCACTGCCATCAAGGCAGTTGCAGAGTGCCGAGACAGGAGGACATCCTACTCTCGACTAAAACAAAACTAGCCGTGTGCTATACACAAAAACAGTGATACGTGTTTGTACTTGAGTAGGGTGAGGGAGAGATCAGCAACATAAGAGCTATACTCTTCACAGATACGCGCACCGTGCATTAGATAACTACACTTGCAAGTAAGTGCGCACAGACGACAACACGGCATTACCCAGTGACCAGTGGCTGGGGGCGAAATGACCGTGTGATTCTGCTTTCTGGTAGATACTCAGGAACAGCTCTCGTATCTCAGATAGCCGCCCTTTTCTTGTCTGCCTGGAGCTGAAGGAGATGGGCAAAGGCAAGGGGAATCAGTCATGCCCGAAATCCGTTGAATGCAATCATGATTGAGATTGAAGTTTGAGCGCAGCTTGGATGAACAGTACCATGCACTGTGTGGACTTGAATTTCGTGCAAAGTTCAAAGTTTGCAATTTGGCACTATGCAGCATGCAGTTGCACATCTAGTTTATGTACTTCGAAGTACTGTTGGTGGGAGTGGACAGGATCACACTTGCAAAGGCAATCTTCAAAAATTGACAAATTGAAGATCATACAGGAATAATTTAGCTATCAAAGTTACAATTAGAATTCAGGCTCCTGAAGTTTAGTGTGCTTGAGATATCACAACAACCTAAAGAAACTGCAAGAGAAATCAAGTCTGACATACCCAGTATGACCATGCCCAGTTTCCAGTTTACGAACGACACAAGGCGAACGTCAGTAATAATATGATCACAAAGGCTAGAGGACGACAATGCCAAAAAACACATACCTGTCATCAGCTTTGTCACTGGGGATTACCGAGTACCTCTCATCTTCAATGAACCGCAAGAAGTTGAAGCAAAAGTAAAATATCTGCATTTTCAGAAACAGTTGCACACACGCAGCAAAAACCGATGGCCACTGTAAAACAGAACTTGCAACTCTGGTGCAGTGCTGTACGCACACACGCATAAGCACACACAGTCTCCCAAAGAGTACGAGGTGACACGGGTGGGGTGTCGTCATGAAGGTTCGGAAGAAGGAAACCAAGAAATATTATACTAACCGGTTCTCCAGCCGCCAGTCTTGTTTGAAATTGATGACTGGACAACACACAGCACAAAAAAGAGGCAGATATGGACTCAGATATGGACTCAGACGTGGAGCCAAGAAATTACACGACAAAAGAAAGGACCAGGGTTTAATAATTCCTGTCCTGGCGGTGACAGTCAATTTTTTCTTTATTTCTTTATTTTTTTCTTTACACTTTTCCATTCCCTCAACCTATGAATGCAGTGCTGCCAAATAATTTTCCCCCAAAATCGGACACCCTTCACCGCCAAGGCTGGCCACATGGTGCGAATTTTTCTCTTCGGCATTTTTTTTACAGAGAATTCAAAATATCGCCTAAAACACCATGAAAATTCGCTTCGTTGCCATGGTAACCCCAGAGTTGTCATGAATTTTGTAATGATGAGTCTGCCTCTGTACAGACTGTCAGTGTACATGCCATCCAGGCATGTTACTTTGCACTTCCACAGCCAAGCGCTAGCCTTTTTAGAAGCAAATGTACAGTGATTTGTGCCTTCAGTTGCGCTGAAAAGTGAAAGCACAGGACTTCTGCATAGGAAAGTAATGATCTCCGACATTTTGGTTGCTTTTCGGACGTTTCCCTTTTCGGACCGGTTTTCGGAAGACTTCAAGAGCCTTCAAAATCGGACGGTTTGGCAGCACTGTGAATGTTTAATAATCGATGCTTTGTTATCCACCAATTTATTGCCAAGAGACTGTAGAAGGGTCAGAATGCGTGACATTCGGATTTGGCACAATACTGCCAGATGATACTGACATTTGGCTCTATCACGTCTTGGATTGGCAACCAGTATTCGTTGCTAGCCTCGTCCACCCATGACCAGTTTCGTCATTGAGTAGTGCATTGCCGGGTCGCATGTGAGTGCTCAGGGATACAAGACACAAGGCCCTAGGGAGGTGTTTTTCTCCGGGGTTCGAGGTCCTAGGGAGGTGTTTTTCTCTGGGGTTCGAGGCCCTAGGGAGGAGGTGTTTTTGATGACAGGATGCCCAACCCAGACACCCAGTCATCTTGCTATAGAATTGATCTGGATTCAGTAGTCCACAATGAAATGGGTTTCAAGCTTTCAATATAATATATCACTGCGCAACATAACAGAGTTTCCAAGCGAATGGAACACCCGGAACACCGTACCAGAAAATGCTACCAGACGTGCCGACACTTGAATGTTTGTATAACATAATGACAAGAATAGTTGGGACTCACCCGAACAACATCCAGTCATATGCCAAGGTCAGGAGCAGCATCTCCCTAGCGCATAGTGATTGATGTATGGCGCCATCCTGATAGCATAGCCAGGTAACATACAGGTAGACAGGACAGGCAAACAGACACACACCACACACACACAAACACATACATACACGCACGCAAAAACGCATACACACATACACACGCCACACATACACGCACGCACGCACGCACACACACACACACACACACACACACACACACACACACACACACATACACACACATACACACACACACACACACACACACACACACACACACACAGAAAGACAACCAAACACGTTGATCATCTCGACATGCAGCACAACGTGTGACAGTAATGAAGTACTACATGTATAGCGCAATACTAAAGCCGAGGTAATTCTCCACACTGGTCAGGTGGTCACAAACACCTGCTCTCCTTATCTCATGTACTCAGTGTACAGGCTAACTTACCGCCCATAGTGAGAGACGCAGCAAGCAAATGAACATGGGGGTACGATCCCAGCCAGATATGCAGTGTACAAGCACGCCGGCACTAGAATTCTCTGCAGCGCAAACACACGCAGACACGCACACACACATGCATACACACATACACACACACATGCATACGCACACACAACGTACCATTGGACCATTGGACGCCCATCGCCAGAGGCGATGATAGCGATGCTACAGCAGAATCCATAGCAGCTTGTGCTGGGATTGCACCATTCAACAGCTTGCAAGGCTGAAGAATTGACCACCACTATTCAGCCTGGTCTACACCACACAGCTATGAAGTGGCTTTTCTGGCCAGTGGATCCCTACTTTTTGGTCTTTTTCATTTTTTTCACGCACACACATCACAGCACATACTCCGGCATGCACTGGCTGTTGGTAACCACCCAGGAGAATGAAAGAAAAGTCAGGAGGAGTCTGAGAAAGAGAAGAAAGACGTGTGTGACCATAATCGTCGGGAATCGAACCCGCAACCTATCGATTGGAAATCGCTGCACATACCACTGCACCATATGGGACACACAACGTACACACACACACACACACACACACACACACACACACACACGCACATGTGAATGCACGCACACATGCACACATATGCACACACGCAAAGCTTATAGAAGGTGGTACGGGCATGGTCTCAGCTACTGCGAGAAGCTGTACAGCGGCAGCGGGGTTTCATTCACACAAGGACACAGGGTGAACATCACCCTGCACAATACCTCAACGAGCACACTATCACCAGTGCACTGCCTCTGTGTGTGTCAAGCTGTCAAGTTGACCTAGCTTACATCATGGCGCCGGGTGCTTTGCTAGCTCACTGGGTGGTATGGGTGGTCTGGGTGGTCAAAATGGTGCCGAGGAAGCACCCTTCACCAAGCTTATCAACAGTGAAAAGGCTTGCTTCTGTACAAACACTAGCATCCTCTACCAGTCATTGTTCGGATCTGGATAATGGCACTGGTTTGGCATCCAAACACAAGATCCAGGGCAACTATCATACACTTGTGGTGAGTTATGGTGCGTGTGGGTGTAAGCTGGGGTGTGGGCTGAACAGTGGTGTGTGTGGGCTGGGTGTGTGGGCTGAACAGTGGTGTGTGTGGGTGTGGGCTGGGGGTGTGGGCTGAACAGCGGGCGTTGGGTGTTGATGCAGAAGTTGCCCTCTTCGCTTTATGAAATACTGCGGAAGCAGCACCCATACATCTAGAACTAGACTATTTAGTTAGTCTAATAGAGAGGTAGCAGCATAAAAGAGAGAGAGAGAGAGAGGGGGGGGGGGGGGGAGAGAGAGAGAGAGGAAGCTGTGTTGTGACTCGGGGCTTCATGTAGTCACTATCATCAGGCAACAGGTAGGTAGCAGCATATGCATTTGGCAGAAGAACAGTGGCAGCAAAGGCGGCAAGCTCAGCTTGATGACATGCATGGTTCAAACTCACTGTCAGCTAGGCAGTGCAGGATTAAGAGAAGGTAGTTCTGCGTCAGCTGCGCCAAATCCCACGTCTGCAGTTGCAAAGCACACACATCAAAACATACACATGGCGACATATCTAGCTTTGCTTGCTTGCTGCATCATGTACTGTAATGAACTGAGCAACTCTGCTGCACTCTTAGAACACAATGTAACGAGACACAAAACACGTATTCACCTTTCTACTAGTACTTGCTTGTTATGTTTATTGTTTTCTTTTTCCCTTCTGGTTTAGTTATTACACGTATTTATATTATTTGGTGCAATACTAGCGCCCCTTTCTCGCACCAAATTATTATTTTTGCTACTTGACCATGCAACCCCCCCCCCTCTTTTTTTCTTTTTTTTCGATGCCAGGTTGCAACACTAACGCCGAGACCCCTGGTCGGTCGAGTTGCTCCCTGTACATCGGCACGTCGTCCCTACATCCCCGGTGTCCTGTTTGGTGTTTGTCTCCACATGTCTCTTTGTAGGGCTGTGTTCCCAATAAAAAAATTAAAAAAAAAAAAGATTAGGCATGCTCATACCTTGTACTGAGACCAGTCAATGTCAAGGTTTGATTTATACGGGATCTGACACTGTGACGTGACGGCAGGCTGTAAGCAAACAGAAAACATTTCAACGATTCATTTAGAGGTGCTAACACTACCCCGATGCATCGTCCAATGAACACTGTACTGGCATGCCTACAATATAAACACACACCGCAATGCAACAACACATGCTTTGTAAAAAGTTGCACTTGTCAGAAGGTGATTATCGTATAAAGCGGCAAATCAGCACAGGCAAGCCCATGCAATCCAACCCATCACAACCAAAGGCAGACTGGCATGACCTCTGAGCCCTTGTCCGCTTATACAGAGCACGTACTACAGCACTAAAGTTGCTCAGCTCCCCGACAGCAGCAGCAGCAGCAGCAAGTATGACATGTGCATGACATTGTATACACGTGTGCATGTATACATTTGCACAGGGCTTGCACAGGGCTTGCACAGGGCTTGCACAGGGCTGGCACAGGGCTTGCACAGGGCTTGCACAGGGCTTGCACAGAGCTTGCACAGGGCTTGCACAGGGCTTGCACAGGGCTTGCACAGGGCCTGCACAGGGCTTGCACAGGGCTTGCACAGGGCTTGCACAGGGCTTGCACAGGGCTTGCACAGGGCCTGCACAGGGCTTGCACAGGGCTTGCACAGGGCCTGCACAGGGCTTGCACAGGGCTTGCACAGGGCTTGCACAGGGCTTGCACAGAGCTTGCACAGGGCTTGCACAGGGCTTGCACAGGGCTTGCACAGGGCTTGCACAGGGCTTGCACAGGGCTTGCACAGGGCTTGCACAGTATACTCAGTTACCTGCTCCCAGTTGAAGATCATTCCCTCAGGATTGAATTTGTTGTGTGCCACTTCTTTGAAATACTCGCAACCTGCACCCGAGTAGAAACAAAGCATGATCAGAGATTATTGACTGGCAAACCGACAGCAGTAGCGCATTGCAGCACCTCTACTTTGCCAATCCATACAGAGTATCGATGATGTAATCGCATGACGTAATCGAATAACCTCTATACACAGTACTGTAAAAGCCATATATATAACGAAGTGCTAACTCTAACGAGTTAACGAGGAGAAATCTGTCGTTAAAATAGAAATCGTTATACAGAAATCGATACATGTACTGTTCTATTGAGCGTTGAGAATGCGTGAGAATCGTTACCTTTGGTACACGTAAACTAGTCAATTTTGGGAAATCGTATATGCGCCTCGTTAGAATAATGGCTTTTACAGTATACGGTACATTCACTGTACAGTGAATGATACTGATAGTGAATCCTGTACAGTGAATGATACTGATAGTGAATGCTGTACAGTGAATGATACTGATAGTGAATGCTATACAGTGAATGCTGTACACTGCTGTACCTGGGTATGGGATGCAGTTGATGTGGAAATTGCAATACAGATTATATTCATCCACTTTCTCAGATGAGCTGCAACTGTAAACACACAGCACCATACCATGTGCACACAAACGTACACACGCACACGCGCGCACGCACACACACACACACACGCACGCACGCACCCACACACACACAGCAGGCACAGATGTAGAGACGTGCAAGCGTACGGAGGCCTATCTTACAGGATATGCAGTCATGGTTTTCAACAACCTTGCGTAAGTGGCAAAATTGCATGCGCTGTGAAGGAAAACCACCTAAATGTGTATGGATCCAGGCAAAAGCTGGATGCAAGTGGATACAAGTGTATGCAAAAGTAAGCATTGTCATTTGTCAGGACCCAAGCTGCTTGTGACGTAGCACTTTTAAGCCCTATGGCACACATGCATTCACTCAGGCATGCATGCATGACTGCATAAACACACATAGACACAGACACACATGCACACAAGCACACCGACACACACTTACACACACTTACACTTACACGCACACACACACACACCACACACACACACGTACAGACAGGCACAGACATGTACACACACACACACACCCGTCCACACATACCCACCTACACACCCGCCCACTTGCATGCACACACATGTACACATATACACACACATACACACACACACGTGTACACACATATACGTCCACGCATATTTAAAAAAGGAACTCACTACAACATGTACTTGACCTTCTTGTCCTCCACCATCAAGTCAAAGATTTCACCAACATTCAAGTGGGTCATCAGTCTAGCATCAGAATGTCGTGCAAATGCATCCAAAGGCAAGTTCCTGAAGGGTAAACAAGCAGCAGACAAGACAAAGTAATTATCTCACATACATGTAGCTGGTCACATTATTAACTAGTGATACACATGTGCGCTGCTGATAAGTTGAGTGATAAGTTGAGTGATAATTGATAGTTGATACGTGGGAGAGAGAAACCCATCTAGTAGCCGGTGCAAGGCCAGGGTACATGTAAGTCAGTACAATATGTACTGGCAGGTTTGCGCAGTGCCAGTGGCCATGTACACTGCTGCTGCTGCTGCTGCTGCTGTCGTTGTTGCCGTTTCGTCGTCGTTGTCCCCGCTGTTGTTGTTGTTGTTGTTGTTGTTGTTGTTGTTGTTGTTGTTGTTGTTGTTGTTGTTGTTGTTGTTGTTTTTCCAGTACAAGAGGCCTCGACTATCGGAAAAAACTACAGCCAGTGTACCCACAGGGACCGAAAGTCCGTACTACACGCTTATTTTGTTCACATCACGCTTGAAATTAGTTCGTCTTCACGAAAGTTCGCCTTACAGAGTTCGTCGTAAACGAATAATTTTGACTTGATATGATGCCTGGCCAACCATAGGATTGGCCCTAGTTCGTACTAAAGGAAAGTTCGCCTTATCAGTGTTTGTCCTAACGAAGTTTGGCTGTACGTGGTTATTTACAGATTTTTACAGTAGCCGGTGGCAGAATGGTACAACGGACCAACTTACCTCATTCTAAGGCCAAACCAAAGAATAGACTTGATGATCGTCCTTTTTTTCTTCAGAAAAAATGGGGAGGGTGGGCCAATTTTATTTTTTTTGCATTATTGCTTGATCACTAATGGTGTGTTTGGTTATTACGATCTAGAACAGGATCAAGCAGCTGGTGCACATGGAGCAACCTCATGCCAACCAGACGGTACTCCAGAAACAGAGCACATTTTTGTGAAAAGTGTGCCAAACTTGGTTGTATTCTTCAAAATGTGTACGAGTTTGGGACCAATCTTGATGTTCCCGTCATGTTTCACTTTGAAACGGTGAACCTGCTCGGTCTCCGTATGTACAAACTGGAAATCAGAAAAATCAATAAAATTTCCTGGGCGGCCCCCAAATTTGGAGTGGGAGGGGACAATCATCAAGTATAGTCTTTGGCTTGGCCTAATGCTTACTTTTTATCGACTGCAGCAGGGACCTGTTCCTCCTCTGGTTCTAGTCCTGGCTCTGCGGGTTCTGCCATAGGCTCTTGGTCCCCTACTTCCTGCTGCTCTGGCAGCTCCTGTGCCTGAGTCGGCGGCTGCTGTTGCTGTTGCTCGTCCTCCTCCTGCTCCCGCTCTACTGTCAGGGGTTCTGAATCTGTGGCAACACTGTCGCTGCCTTCAGAAGTTCTAGGCCTCACAGACCCTGTAACATAATGCAAATGGTACAACACGCATACGCACAAACCACCCATTGCACAGGGATGGTGATTGGGCTCACGTGTCCCTTTCTCCCCGTGTGAGGTGATGCATCGTGCTATCCCACTTTAGAAGTCTTGACTACCATCTTGTGCAGCAGTAAAGACTGGCATTATCGTGAATCAAAAAAGCCAGTATGTGTCTACAATGTGAGTAAGGTGGGTATGTGGGACTTGGTCTAAACTTGCTGAACTCTGCCCCGCTGCCTGCATGTAACACAGGGTTTTTATTATATAACTTTTTTAACTTTTTTTGAAAAGGCAAACCATCTGACCTACACGGTAGAATGTGGACCATGTAGTGCCGTCAATAGTTACTATTCCACGTAGTGCCGTCAATAGTTACTATTCCATGTAGTGCCGTCAATAGTTACTATTCCATGTAGTGCCGTCAATAGTTACTATTCCACGTAGTGCCGTCAACAGTTACTATTCCTCGCCCCAGTTGCAGGTACAAGTATTTGTTATCAGACCTTGGTTGCTGCCATCGTCCTTGACCCAGACAAACACCACTGGTTGTCTGCTGGTAAATACAGTACTTGTACTTATATACAGAAGCCTTGCTTGGTAGTTTAACATGTTTTTCGATTTTGACAGCATGTTACAAGGCGAGGAGCACTACTTGTACTTGTACTTCAGTGGTAACTATGTAGCAAAGATACGCATGACTGAGGTAAGCCCACACAGCAGCAGCAGCAGCAGCAGCAGCAGCAGCAGTGGTGCCAGCAGCAGCAGCAGCAGCAACAGCAACAACAGCAGCAACAGCAACAGCAACAGCAACAGCAACAGCAGCAACAGCAGCAGCAGCAACAGCAGCAGCAGCAGAAGCAGCAGCAGCAGAAGCAGCAGCAGCAGCAACAGCAACAGCAGCAACAGCAACAGCAGCAGCAACAGCAGCAACAGCAGTGCCAGTGCACATGATAACACAGTACCACTACTCACCAGTAACAGAACTCAGCACTTGGCGGCCAGAACTCAGCACTTGGCGGCCAACTGATTCCAAGTAGGTGGACAGAGTTGCTGACCTACATACTACCTGTAATACACACACGCACGCACACACACACACGAAATCCAAGGCCATATCGTGAAGTATGGCCCCTGGCAAGAGAGTTTGACCATTTTCGTTTTCCCAAATTTACGCGTAAGAAGAAGGACCTCGTATGGGACAATAGATAGAACATCAGCAGGTTCGCTGAAGACAACAGCAAACAGCCATCAGTAGGCTGGGCTTTGACATAACAGCTAAAGTCAACATGGATACTGTGTAGTAGTAAACACTACACAGGGGCATAGCTGGTCCCCCTTTTAGGGGGGGGGGGGGGGTGCACGGCCGCATATGTGTAGGATGGTAGGTGCATGTCATCATGTGCATGCTGAACCTAGGTCGAAATTTTTAGGGCGGTGCACGTGTCCCCCCCCCCCCCCCTTCCCCTGTGCCCCATGCGGACTACACATCTGTTAGATCATGTTACTCTTTGTCGTAGAAACTTCCTCCGAATGGATCATATGACTTCAATCAACTAGTGGTTCAGCAGCTCACCTTATTGTTGAAAAGGAAAACGGGAACGACAAAGCGCTCGCGGCACCTCGCTGGCTTGGATGTCATGAAGAGATTGTGCAGGTCGGTCTCGGAACTCAGTGCCTTGGCCAAGTCCGGACTGTACGAGTAAGTGGTGTGTAAGTATTCACACAGTAGTAGACGTGTGTGTGGAAATAAGCACAGCATATCCACGCATACACACACACACATACATACACGCACACACACACACACACACACACACACACATACGTACACACACACACACACACACACACACACACACACACACACACACACACACACACACACACACACACACACACACACATGTGCGCGCACGCACACACACACACACACACACACACGCACACACGCGCACGCACATCCACAAATCATGTGTCAACCCTGGATAGGAAAACACCGGAGCAGAGTACATTGTACAATGTGATCATGTATACACATGAAAAGAAGGCCTGTTAGTGCGGATGATGGTAAAGATCGCGCACATGTACAGCCTCGGCCCGTGTTTAAACTGGGAGAGCTGTCGGAGTCACCTGGGCGTGTTGCCCCCAGGGTTGTAACCGGTCGAAAGTCACCGACACAACTCTCCGAGCTGGACTCTGTTGGCGTTGTAAATGCGGATCACCTTATTAAACAGTTCCGTGTCTGTATGAGCGACCTGATGGAGAGTCACATGGCAAGGGTGGTGGGTTCCATTGCAAGTATCCGGGAAGGGATGTCATCAGTCCGTAACTCTCTTCATGGCTTTGATCCTCGCCTCACTATCCTTGAATGAAAACTGAAAAAGACAGACATGCAGGACATTGTGTTCAAAGTTACAGGTATGCAGAATACGGTACGCGAGCTGGAGACCAGTGTGACCTTTCTCTCCTCCAAGTATCAAGACATTGTGGATTCTGGCCCCGGCACAACAAGCACTGGTACTCAGCCCTTGCAGCAAGTTGTCAGGTCGCAAGGCGAGCAGATCAGCCGTGTGGCTGCTAGCGCAGACGAAGCTTGCAGTCAAGTGAGAAAGCTGGAGGAGTGCCTGGCCAGCGCCCCACCACCCTGTACCAATCCTTCGCCGCAGGTGCATCCCAAGCCTGCACAAGCTCTAGGTACATGCCAGGCCTCAATGTACTCACACTCGTACTCCGGGGTTACGGCTACCTACCACATTCGTCCCAAGGCTGCACGGGCTGCAACTGGGTACAAGACGCACACGGGCTCAGGCACAGGCACCACTGATCAGGCACTGCAGACAACAGTGACATCTTGTTACCAGCGCCCTGCACGTACGCACGACCGGTTAAGGGATGCCAGTTGGCTAAAGTGCAAGGCTGTCTACGTTGGTTGCGTTGATGTGAGTTGCTCAGCAAACGCAATCGCAAAATGGTGTGAAGACGGCAATGTTACAGTTGTCAAATGTTCAGCACTAGTATCTGCTGCACGATATTTTGATCTGGCCTATGCCCATCTGGTCATCTGGTTACCTCAGAGGAGCATTGTGAGAAGTGAGAAGGTCCAGAGTGCAGACTTCTGGCCAAGTGGTATAACAGTCCGAGAATGGCGCTTTAAACCGCTTTCCAGCAGCCGTCTACCACCTCATGACAGGCGGCATTGAGCAGTGCTATAGACATCACACACTAGACACGCACACACATACACGCACATACACACATACCATGTACCATGTATTTTTTTCTCTACAAAATCCACATATCTCCAGACACTGGGGTGAATGATGGAGTGTGGTGGTGGGGCCCATTAAGCTCCGCCGACCAGAGGTCTCGGCTTCATAGCTCCATGGACCGTATACGCCTGTCGCAAGAGAAGCACGCAAATCTGCAAATGCACTGGATGTGCACCCACAGGTTTTCTCTTATAGCAACGATAGCGAACAAGATCCGAATGAGACAGATCAAGACTTGCGCTAGATAACTGTCTAATCCACACAACTGGCGAAGCCATGTGAATCGACCACCAATGCACACCTGGTCTACACCACACGGAGTACATCGGCATAAAACGGCCAACACAGTTACCTATGCACACCCTACACTTGCTGGGGTAACCAGTATAGACAGCACACTGCTTTGATAGAAGCAGACACTAGATGCACTGGTACCTTGAAGTGAAATTGGAGTTACTTTACCAACCAGCCTCGGCTACTGAGTACTGGGAACCCACACACACGCACGCACACACACACACACACACACACACACACACACACACACACACACACGCACGCACGCACGCACGCACACACACATACACACACACACAAGACGCGCACACGAACATGCATACATACACAAACACACACACACACCACGTACGCATACACACACATACATGCACACACACACACACACACACACACACACACACACACACACACACACACACACTCACACACACACACACATACATACACTAGACACACACACGTGCACACACACAAGCACGATGACACACAGCACTTAACATACCTGACAGAGGAAAAGCTTGGGTGCGGGTATTTCTCAGCACACGGCACGATTATTTGCCGTGGATAGCTAGAACATAGGGATCCCTTAGCGTCGATGACCTTCAGCAGTTAGAAAAGATGATACAAATTGTTTTCATAACAATACTACATGCACAGTACTGGCCAAAGAAATCCAACCTCATGAATAAAATAGCATTGCCAGACGCTACACAGCCCTAGCACTACACCCACTGCAGGCCTGTGCACTCGAACATGGTGCTACGCAGCCCTAGCACTACACCCACTGCAGGTCTGTGCACTCGAACATGGTGCTACGCAGCCCTAGCACTACACCCACTGCAGGTCTGTGCACTCGAACATGGCGCTACTTTATTCATGAGGTTGGATTTCTCTGCGGGTCAGCATCACTGTAGTTACTTGCTGTACATTGATCACTAAGAGGTTGAACACGGCACTAGAAAACAGCACACAGCACACACACACACACATACACACACACACACACCATTGGACCATTGGACGCCCATCGCCGGAGGCGATGATAGCGATGCTACAGCAGAAGCCATAGCAGCTTGTGCTGGGATTGCACCATTCAATAGCTTGCAAGGCTGAAGAATTGGCCGCCACTATTCAGCCTGGTCTACACCACACAGCTATGAAGCGGCTTTTTCTGGCCAGTGAATCCCTACTTTTTGGTCTTGTTCATTTTTGTTTTCACGCACACACATCACACCACATACTCCGGCATGCACTGGCTGTTGGTAACCACCCAGGAGAATGAAAGAAAAGTCAGGAAGAGTCTGAGAAAGAGAAGAAAGACGCGTGTGAACATAATCGTCGGGAATCGAACCCGCAACCTATCGATTGGAAATCGCTGCACATACCACTGCACATGGGTTATGCGACAGTTCACAGAATCCAATTTCACCGTGTGACGTTTCACAGATTCCCAACTCACAGAATGACACTTCACAGAGTGCCAGTCTCACAGAATGCACTATTCACCCACACCCAATTCAACGAAAACCCAGTTCGCAGACTGACTTATTCACAGACAGCCCATTTCGCCTAGAGTGGACAAAAGTGGGAAAATGCGGCTCGATCCTCGGCAGGACGGGTAAGTTTCAGCGTGACCAACAATAATATCCACGCCAGAGGTGACAACGCACACACGCCAGGTCATACAATCATAAGCCCTTGATTTACGACTATTCGATCATTCAAAGTCAATTTTGGAGAATACGGATACGAATATGAATACGACAATGGAGCCTGACTACATTGGACTGACGTCGAGGGGGAAGCAGAAGATCATTCAGGATGGCTAAGGGTACGTGAAAGAAAAATGCGGCACCGGTGACGTAGTGTACTGGAGGTGCGAGCGTAAAGATGAATTGGGATGCAAAGGCAGGTTGAAGACCAATGGCACAATGATCATGGCAACTACGGGCGTGCACAGCCACGCTCCTGAAGCAACTAGAGTCGCAACCGCTACTGTGAGCAATGCGATAGCGACACGATCGGCGACAACACAAGAATCGACGCACACGATAGTCCAAGCTGCAGTAGCAGCGACGTCAATTGAAGCTGCCACCCAGTTGCCGAGCGTCCGAAGCTTGAAGCGGAAGGCTCAGAGAGAGTGTGTGAAAAGCAGAAATGTTCCTCCAAATCCCGGATCCCACCAAGAGCTGGTGATTGCAGACGATTATGGCCACACCCTTTCCCGAGATGTATTCCTGCTACATGATAGTGGTGCTCACTCCGGAAATGCTCGATTCTTGGTGTTGTCCACGCAGGACAACTTGGGTTTGCTGGCCACGCACGATTCCTGGTATGCGGGTGGAACCTAGATGGTTCCCCTGCTGTTCTATCAGCTCTACTCTCTGTGCGTTCGTTTGGATGGATGCATATTGCCTGTCGTCTACGCGATTCTACCAAACAAGACGGAGGAAATGTACGAGCAACTACTCCAAGTTCTCCTCAACAGAACGGACGCTTTGCATCCGTTCACTCTACAGTCCATTCAGAAAAAAATGAACTTCTAGCTTTTGGCCATAAATGGGTCAAACGTTGAGTTTTTTTAGAATTTTTTTCTGCAATCCCATATGGAATCCTCTTCCAATTATGTTTCTGAAGTTTTTTTGTCCAAAAAGCAAGCCATAGCAAGAATAGGATTTCGGCCAGGTTTTGCCCCAAAAGCACTGAATTGGGAAAAACCATCAAAATCCAGGCCGTTTGACCCCGCCTGCAACAGTGCATTCTGCGGTTCGAACCCCAGTTCAGGCACCCTTTTTGGACCCTTTTTCAAATTTCAAAGTTCGCAGCACTGCACTGTGTACGATGAAATCACGAAAAATCGCCAAATACGGGAGCTCGCCAGAGCCAGGACCCATCTTTTTATGAATGGACTGTAGTTACAGATTTTGAGCTAGGTGCCATCAACGCATTTAGACTGAAATTCCCCGGAATTAAGTGCACAGGCTGCTTCTTTCATCTCACCCAGAACATTTATCGTCGTGTCCAGTCAAACGGACTCCAAGAGCGCTACGCACAGGATTCACAATTTGCAGTGGCCCTGCCAATGCTGCCAGCGTTGGCTTTCGTACCAACTGGGGACGTGGCCACTTACTTCGAAGCGGTGGAGGATAATTTCCCCGACGACGCCGAGGCGATCCTCACCTACTTTGAGCATTTGTACATTGGAACACTCCGCCCAAATGGGCAACGGCGGACACCACTGTTCCCGATTGCGCTGTGGAACGTCCACGACCGCACTCTGATGGGAGAGGACCGCACAAACAACGCCCAAGAAGGATGGCATCGTCGGTTTGCATCAATAGTCACCTGCCACCATCCGACTATTTGGAAGGTTATCGAGTGTTTGAAAATGGAGCAGGCTACCACGGAACGAGAGCTTGAGCGGCGTGTGGCAGGAAACTCTGGTCCTAAGCGGAAGAAGAGATATCAGCAATGTGATGAACGGCTGAGGGCTCTGCTACAGTCCGTCGAGCAGCGACCACCAAGAGAGTTCCTCCGTGGAGTAGCACATAATCTGGCGTTCAATGCTGTCGAATAGGCGGAACGGCTGAGGGCTCTGCTACAGTCCATCGAGCAGCGACCACCAAGAGAATTCCTTCGTGGAGCAGCGCATAATTTGGCGTTCAATGTTGTGTTATAGTAAATGACCATGTCACACGTGCACACTCTCATATTCTTCATATTTTGCTTTCTTTCGAAACAATGCATTTTTGAGTGCATGCCTGATCAAATCCGGTGAAATGGGCTGTCGATGAAAACAGTGCTCTGTGAACTGTCTTTCGGTGAATTGGGTATCCTGTGAAATGGGCTGTCTGTCAAAAAGGTAGTCTGTGAAATGTCATTCCGTGAACTGTCGTTCTGTGAATTGGGTTTCTGTGAACTGTCGGGACACCATGCACATACCACTGCACCATATGGGACACACACACACACACACACACACACACACACACACGTACACACACACACACACACACACACACACACACACACACACTTAAACACGATGTCATAATGATAGACTAACCAGTGTGTCATAGTCTCGGTTTATCAACTGGATGCATTGCATCTGCAACAGATCATACTGGATGGGTAGAATACACACATGCGTACAAACACACACACACACACACACACACACACACACACACACACACACACACACACACACACACTGCCAAAACTGGTCACGTGGGTCTCCCCGGGAGAGGGGAGAGAGACTCAAAAGGAATCTTGGAAAGATGACTCAATTGGCCATTGAACCACCCAACGACCGACACCCCCTGAAATCCCCAAACTAGGGTGGACTTGAAATGATCCCACTTATGGGCTCACCACACCTCAGTAAGTGGGTGAGGACAAGGTGCAGAAAAGGATTGACGGCATCAGGGTATCCGTCCCGGGATCCAACTGCAGGTACCCCTGCCCCCAGTGAAGGTAATACTTGGTACTAGTGTCGGTGGCTAAATCAGAGTGGATCTGATATAAGCTTCACTAGCACCATTGATTACACAAGAGTTAATCTAGCACACACACACACACATACACACACATACACACACACGCATATGCCCACACCTGTTAGAAGTTATTGGAACAAGATGGTAAAATAATCTGTTAGGCGGCAAAAGATATACTAGAATAATGAAGAATTGATTTACAAAAAGAAGACACCAACTGTGCCAAGGTGCTGACCAACGGGGTCCATAGACTGAAAGAAAAGCTGCAGATCGTATTCAGCCATTCACACTCAAATTCCTCCTTGCCGACTCGTTGCATTCGTCTGATTTCGTCAAGCTCCCCATCACCTCCAAGACTCAATTATTATTATTATCCGTGGGTTGCGCAACATGTCGCAATGACATCAGGCTGACTATGTCAAGGAAGATATGAGTTGTGTGAATACCAGGGTTCTAGCCACAGAGGGTAGGGGCAGTGCCCTCCCCCCCCCCCTACTCTGCTTGCGCGCCCCCTGTGAAAAAATGCCGCCCCTACTCATTGTCCGATTTTTGTGTTTTTTCAGGCCATATTACGAAAATGCATGCAGTCACCGATTGAACGTTGCATTTTGTGTGGCAAATCTTTCCCCTCATAATATTAATATGTCTTCATCTGAGCGAATGCAACTATAAACTGCAAGTGACGCAACACATGAAGCCGCTCCGTCACAAGAGTGAGTTGAGCGGGCAGCCCCGGGACAAATATCATCTGCCGGTAACTGCATTCTCCCTGGATAATACAGTTCGCTGCATACATTACAATGTGCTGCACTTCCTGTACGACACTGTCAGCAGGCAACAGACACCGATTTTTGCCCTCAAAGTAAATGTCAGCAGCCAATATCCACGATGAACATTGACTAGATGGTACGCACTACAAATTGCCACCCTCCCTGTACTGTCTATAGCTGTAGGCCAAATATCCCGTTCACGTGCATGTACATGTCTTACCGTGGGACCTATTTTGACACCAACTGCAAAGAACTTCAGTAGCTCCTCGAAGTTAACGTCGGACGGTGGAGACTGGAAACTCAAAGGCATATTCTCGCTGGCTGGGGGACTTTCCGTAGTCTGGGAGTCTTCTTCGGCGCTCATAGCTGCAATTAAAACCGTTCAAAGTCACTACGCAATTTAGAGAAGTTACTCGTACTCGTTCAAAACAGGAAATATTCGCCAACTCGTACCAGGATACAATAAATGACTTTTCTTTGGACTTTCTGCTGTTTGTGTTCCATAGCTGTTCCTATTTTTTGTGAAGTGAGGCGCGGCTTTCACACCTAGGCTATGCACACCCACCAACCAACTTTGCTAGGCTGTTTGAAAGCTGGGCAACAAATGTTACTTTCTCACTGCCCAAAATGCACAGTCGTCAATCTCTTCACATTCCACCCAACACACTTACACAGAACACAACGAACATGTGCAGAAGATTTTTGAAGCATTGCACTACGTCACCTTTCGTCATGACTATGAATAATGACGTAGTCGACAACCACAATAATAATATTAATTATTTATTATTATACCGTAGATGAGCATGAGCTCATTTTGCAGCTTGCTTGAGCTGACTCAGCTGAGTCTTCAAGACTGTCATCACATGATCATTACTGACAGTGACAAAGGGATATGATATCGGATGTCCAGATTCTGTTTTAATTTTTTTTGCATTTTGGGGTAAATCTACCCCACTTTTGCATTTTCGAATTTTGCCTGTTTCTGCACGGTTTCGACCCAGAAAAGGGCGGTTTCAAGTTCCTGGCTAATCCACACTCTGACACACATCAATCCAAGCCAAATTCGTCACTGTTTCTATCAAGTACTGTAAATATACAAAATTTCGGCGCTGCAAAATTTCGGCACTTCACGATTTTTGACAATTCGGCGGCGATTTATTTTCGGCGTGGGGTAGAGGGCATGGTATAGTGCGACAAATGCTGTGAAAAATTTCATTGGCGTTTTAATTTAGGCGTTTGGGGTCGGTGCCGAATATAGCCGAAATTAAATAGCTGCCGAAAATTTGTATATTTACAGTAGACCAAAGCGCAGAAGCAAAAATTAGAAGCAGAAGCAAAATAGAAGCAGAAGCAAAATAGAAGCAGAATGCGCATGAGGAGATGTTGCTTGAACTGCTGGTTGTGGCCGGGTCCCGCCTCCCTCCTCCTCAGAGTCCTCACCATCAGAATCGGCTGTTTCAACTACGGTGGCAAGATTGGAAGCCATAGCGGTATATCATCAGACAACAACAGCAGCTAGTACAGGACTCAGGAGAGCAAATGAAAGAAGACTTAATGTTATACTCTTCAAAAAATTCGTCGCCGTGTTGTCATGGTAACGAACGCATTTTTTCCGCGGTTTGGCTAAAAAATTGAATTTTTTAGAAAATTTTAGAAAAGCATAAAAAAGACGATATGCATTTTGATAAGATTTGACCGCATTTTGCATTAATTTTCAATTTTCCACAAAAAACGCGCAGAATCGGGCCAACCCTAGTCATCATGTCATCATCGAGTTGTGTTCATCACTGTTGAGGCTTCCGATGGAAAAAAAAGAAAAAAAAAGAATACATGTTGTTGGCTTGGATTACTGACACAGTGCCAGCATGCGCATGAGCATGGATCAGCAGCATGCTAGGCTATTGCCGCAATAGTACTATAAATAATTAGTAGCATGACCGTCCATGAGTGACATCAAGAGTAGATAAACTATCGGTACTCTTCGTGACATTCACCAAGGCAGTGAAGGATGCATGATGATACGGTCGTATTGATACCACTGTAGATCTACATGATTGTAGAGTTTACATTTAATATTGATGGATGAGTACGTGACCATTCATTGACCAGGCCAGGGACCGATGGTAATATTAGTATTATGGTCTGGGTTCGACCAAGAGTACCGTTGAATCATAAAAAAATCAAGCAATAAAATAACCCCCACGACATAAGGCCACCCTTTGTTAATTCATTGTTTAACGTCCTTTTTTTCGCGAAAAGGTACGCGGGAGGGCGGAAAAAAACAAAAGCCCATTCCAAAAACTGGAAACCCCAATCAAACATTTTGACCAGTGAAGCATGTGATATATACAATATTTCTGGGTCTAACGGCACTTGCAGGCATAGAACAACACTCTTTGATGGTACATTGGAGCACATGCCTGATGAATCCAACAAAACAGGTACATAGCATGGAGTTAGCCTGTCATGAATTCATTACATCTGGATTTTTACTAGGACACACATCGTACGATATTTAAAAGCCAACAAAAAAAGAAAAAGAACACAAGACAATTACAAAGGCATGCCCGGGAGGTAAGATTATAAGTTTAAGGTCATGATCGGCACACTGTGAAACTACACACAATCATGTATTTACAACTTCGCATATTATTGGTACTACTACTTTCTTGTTTTTTTTCCGGTCGGAGGCAAAAAGGTACGCGGGCGCGGACGTTAAACAACGAAAAAAGAAAGGGTGGCCTAATCATAGTCATTGGAGGTTATGTACTCTTCAAAATCGGGTACGATTCCCAGGACCATCTAAAATTAATTGGGGCCGCTGCTCAACTGCAGCGTATCCAGCTCTGTCTTAGCTTGTCACCTCCTATGTCCTATCTCATTCCTTTCTCTAATCTCTTTGACAGGGCCCTGAGATGTCATAATGCATGTGCAAACTAGCAGTGCAGCGGGTTTAACAGAGCTGGATACATACACAGGAGTGGTGGAAACATTCAAGCACGCTGATCACACCCGCTCCTGCAAGTATTGCCGCAGAGTACACGATGAATCTTGCTGCTACATTTACAAGCCATAGTTCTCGCCATCTTCACTACAACCAGCCTGACTAAAATCATCACAGCACAAGACGATACACTACTCGCACAGCGTGTGGTAAATGGCGTCAAAAGCCACAGATACGAACTGAGATATTGCATGCGACTTCGGCAGTAATTGTATTGTTTAGTGCATTCTATAAAACACCTTTTAGCAGAAGGGGGTCAAGTGTCAGCCAGTCAGCAGGAAGCATGAGCTCCAATGTTACATTGTATCTTGAATTACAGTGTAGGAGCAGCAAGTTCAGCCACTAATATACAGTAGCACGGTCCCGGCTTTATTTGGCGTCTGGGAAAGGTGTCCAATTTTGAGTGAACAATATTTAAAACTTTGGTAGAAATGGACAACAGATGCATGTATGCAAACTGCAAAGTGCACACTGTTGATGCCTATAGTCTATTGTCTATGGTAGTCTACAAGGCCCTCAGTATAATTATATCGTATAAACGAGCCCAATGTTCGAACAAGTTTGGCAAAGCAAAATTCGTTGTCTAAACCATTTTCGACGAGTAGTAGACACCGAATTTTTTTAACACATGCATGTATTGATCTCAAGAACAATGCAAATGGCAAACTGGGCGCTACCTTGGAATGTTTAGTGGAGCTGTACTCGCTGGTGGGTGTCCTCTTGAAAACATCCCTTTCTTTTAATACACACAAGAACATAGCCAAGTGGCTTGCTTGGTATGCGTTCCCTACTGAAACTGCAATGAAAACAATAGGCTTCTGCACATTCAACACCCAACAGGGTCTACAGGGCTCTATAGAATTGTTTCCACGTGTATGCACATTACGGACTAAACTGATTCTGCACTGGCTGCCGATAGAGAGATCATACAGTCTCTGTGCTTCGTAGTCTCGGAGGTACTGTAATGTGCTTCAAAAAGAAGTAGCAACTAGCAAGAATGGAACGTACTAATATACGGTATAGATCAAGATAACAGCCAACATAGAAGCAATGCACTATTGAAATCAGCTGAATATAAAACTAAAATATGAGCGATCATCGAGGAAAGAAAAGGATAATAAATTATTGGAGTTTGGCATTAGATCAAGACTCGTACAGAGGCACGAGCAGCAAAAAGCCGAACAAGAAGCAGAAATAGATAAATAAATATGCATAAAATGTACAACATGATTTCGCGTTTGGGTTCAGACTGGCAAACAGTTTTCGAGCTGGCATGTCTCCAATGAAAGAAGTTGCCACATCAGCTGTCATCAAAACATGACTACCCGCTCCTAGGTTTGTGAACGAAGGTGTAGACATGTTACTGTTTGCAGTCACATGATTTCTATCAGCACAGTGTGTTGTCACCTAGATCACTACATGCTATGCCAGTGTTAGTGCTAGCACTCTGACGGCACTTGCATGGCACATGCATGTAGAGCGTCTAGGCGAAGCTAACCTCAGCAACCCGAAACGGAAGCGTCCTCGCCAGACCTCTTTGTGATGTGCAGCTTGACGATTTCCTCAGCACACGTAGGATGGATGCCCACGCAGCTGGACAGTTGTTCGTATGTGATACCGGCACTATGCACAGACAAACACCCAGAAATGCATGAACAGTCAATATGCCAGAGCAGTACAATAACAGTAAGCCACAGAGAGGTCTGTGATGTGTGCTAGGTACACTGCAAGTACCATACACAACACATGTGTCCTTTCAGAGAAACTAGGGCTCAAACGGCTACGGTTTTCACCTTAACGGTTAACAGCTACGCTAACGGTTGGTTTATCGGTTATAACTTATAAGCTGCGGCAGTCTGGCGCGTAGCTAGTTTGAACAGTATTGTACAATATACTTGGTCAAAAATATAGAGGCGACGGTTTCAAATAGGACATAGGTTGCAAACCGGAACGGACTCAATATTCACTTTCTCTCTTGGTATTTTGATTAGAAAACGTATGTCACAGTGAGAATACAATGTGTTTTACTCAGCGCCAAAATTCCATGGCTCTGCGATGACCAGAAGCGCCATACTAAGCATTTGAGTTTTTGACGTGTTGCTTCCCACTGCGACTTGAGTTTTACGACTTTCGAAAAATCAACTTCTTGTCGCAGGTAAACAGCGGCTTGCCTCTCGCCAATAAAGCACTGCATACCAATCAAAACTAATGGAAGCACACACAAGGCGTATTGTTACTCTGTACTGGCCGTCGTGGAGCGATAGCAATTACCTAATTTCAGACCCAGAGTGAATTTGACGTGCACTCTAAAACATGTCCGGTTTGGAGCCACCTCTGATTTGAAGCGAAAAATTGGGCAACTTGGAGGCAATGGGTCAACACAAAGGAGTGGCTCAGTTCAATTGACTCTGGCCTCAGAGCAAACTTCAACATGCCAGTTTCCTTCCACAAACATATTTCGAGTGAACAATCAACGCTGATGATCGGTTTGGGTCTATACAAATTTGGCTGTCAAGCCGTTCCGGTATCGAACCGTTGCCTCTACTGTGCAGACTTACTACTATTCCATGCACATGTTGGCATGCTCATTCACGCCTATTCACAGACCAGAAGCATTAAAGATGGCATGAAAAGATGAAATTGATTCAAATTGTCCCGGATGGTACTATGTAGTGTGCATGTATGCATGTGTACATACACGATAGGTTGTAAAACTGCCAAAACTCGGTAAAATTGCGTACTTCGAAAACTCGAAAAAGTACCCGCGTAACCTTTACACAAACGGTTAACCTTTATCTTTTCAAAACCGGTCTTAAACCGGTTAATCAGACTAACTGTTTGAGCCCTAAGAGAAACACCATACAACGTGATCATGCGGTGTTTGGAAGGACATATTGGATCGCTTGTCATTTTCGTATTTGGTGCACTATTGCTATGCATTTCACGAGTGTGATATTTGTTACATCTACGATTGTACGAGTAGGACGGTACCAAGAGTACATAACCCCAAGAGTGTGCAACTGCCTGCACAACCTCTATGCTGTGCTGCGACGGCAGAACTTCACATCACGTGACATGGTTCAAAAGGTTATGCTGGCAAACAGTGCAAAGTGACCACAAGAGAGTTGTACCCAAAGCTGGGCTGCGTACAACCCAGTATCTATCATGCACAGAGTGCAAATAATGTGTATGGGTTCATCACGTGATGTGAAGTTCTGCCGTCGCAGACCCCATAGCTGGAGTTGCACACTCTTGGGGTTATGTACTCTTGACGATACTAATTCTGGCTGCTCACTCATCGCCGCCATTAGTAACGCCCTCCTGGTGTTCATGAACTGGGCTTTTGATTTTGCTTTCCTCACCTTGAGGTCGGACTCTACGCGTAAACTCAACGAGGATTCCACGTCTTGTGGCAGCAGAGGATGGTTTAGTAGAGGTACCACCAAGAGCAAACCAAAGGACGTGGAATCCTCGTCGAGTTTACGCGTAGAGTCCCACCTCAAGGTGAGGAAAGCAAAATCAAAAGCCCAGTTCACAAACACCAGGAGGGCGTTACTAATGGCGGCGATGAGCGAGCAGCCAGAGTCAGGAATCATCAAGGCTTACATGGATGTGCTGGGGGCAGCAGCAATGCAGGCTGTGGAAGCCATCCTCAGTTTGGCCGAGGTGGTGGAAACGAACGCCCACCTGTTTGAGGAACTGGATGTACTGGACAAGGAATTTGTGGAAGCCGTCACCAGGGCCAGTGACGTGCTCGAGACCAGTACGAGGCGGCCGAGCCTGGCCAGCACGACGTCCAGCTCCCCAGCCACCATCGAACGGCGGGATACAATTCGGAAAATCAGGAGGATCCTGAGTAACAGGCTGAAACTGGGTGAGGCCAAGGAGGTGGATGATGACGAAGAAGTATCCAGTGTGCAAGCCAATGAAGCCAGTGAAGCTAGTGAGAGTGAGAGTGTGGATGTCAGTGCTCGGCAAGTGACACCTGCACCTGTAAAACATATGTCTGTAACACCTGTTGAACCCACAACCGCCCAGGGGAGGGCAACGTTGTTCCTGTCGGCGGTTTGCCATGGCAACGGCATCGCCAGCGCCGAAGGAACTCGGACCGAGCCATATCAAACAAGAACAGATGAGCGTGTACATGTCTCTCTCTTGCGCGCTACCATTCAACTTAACTTGCTCTGCTTTATATGGTGTTGTGCCGTTGTCTAAATTCTTCAGGAAGTAGATTGTTCGAAACTTTTTTTCGACCTCTTCCGTCACGAAGAACTCGAGGAGGCAACAGTAACCTGCTTATCGTCCCTGCAGCTCCTTCTGCACATTCTACCAAATTGGTGAGACATGCTGGCCCAGTTCTCTGGAATTCCCTCCATGCGGATATCCGAGGCGTCACCAAACTGGCCGCCTTCAAGTCAAGCGCTTTGCAACACATTCTTGCCTGCTTTTAGCTTTACGTCCATGTTTATGTAGCTGTGCTGGAACTGCTCTATTTCGCCGCCACTATTTACCATTAGCCATGTCCCCCCCCCCCCTCCTCCACCCTACACAGTGGGTCCATTTTTATTAGGCATCTGCCTGTTTTTAGCGTAACCATGACGACGGCAACGCCAACGTCACCGAGCGCTACACAGTCAACCACCAGTAGTTCAATGCCGAGACAGTTGGCCTCAGATGTGTCTGCTTTTGTTTCGCGGCGTGCTAGCAGTCAACGAGAATTTGTCCCCGCAGCCACTGGACGCACTAGAGCCAGTAGAAGTACACAGCCACTGCAGCCCGCGCGCGCCGGGCGTCCGCATTGTCACCCGGACAGCTGCCGCATTTAGTGTCCACATCGTCGCCCGGACAAGTCATATTCGGCGTCCGCATTGTCGCCCGGACAACCGCCGCATTTAGTGTCCACATTGTCGCCCGGACAACAGTCATATTCGGCGTCCGCATTGTCGCCCGGACAGCCGCCGTATCCACCACAGCCAGGGTACATGTATAGGACCACTCCGTTGGTGCAGCAGCCGTCATCAGATGTCAGCAAGGGCCTGAAGAAGGTCGCCATACCCACGTTCGATGGCAACAAACGGAAGTATGAACAATGGAAAGCGGCGGTCTTGGTCTGCGTGGATCAACTGCCCCTGTCCACCAGCATGAAGTTGCTTCAGCTGCGCCAATATGAGAATCTGGGGTTTTCCCCATCCACATACCCTGCGGCTTGGCGCAGACTGGAACAACGCTATGGAGGACAGAGGAGGCAGGTGGCAGTACACATTGAGGAGCTCGAGGAGTTCCCCGCCATCAAGTTACCACGAGCGTCAGAACTTGAGAAGTTTACTGACCTGCTAGAGGTTGCCGTGGTAAAGATAGTGGATGCCGGACTTGGAAATGAACTCGGAACGGGAACATTGTACAACAGATTGCAGCGCAAGCTATCCACCTCTCTGCTGGCTGAATACCACCGGTTTGTGCTAGAGAGTGGCCAGCAGGAATCGGTACCACTCTCCTAGCTGTAGCAGCCCTGCTACCATGACTCGTGCATGTGTTGGATCATGATGTGTATGTGTTTGTATCGTGATGTCCACAAATCTGTCCGCTGTTACATTGGCGCAGTGAACAGGATTTAGATTACAGAGGATTCACACTTGGCATGGCAGGAAAGGTGAAGGTCAGCGTAAAGCTAGACCTGGAACACGAGCTTGGCCTCGACCACTTGCAAACTTGGCTGTGCCAGCTAAGAATTGCGTTCCAGCTACATAGAGTCACCGATAAGAAACAACAGTATTTAGCTGCAGCGTCAAACCTCGGCGAGGATGCTGCGCATTACTTGTGGCAGCAATATGCTGCTGTTCCATCGGGAGATGACCTGTTCCAATGTTTGGTGGACTTGTTTGAAGAATATTTCGGTGGAAAGCGCTCTATGCGATATATGACTACGATGATTCATGCATTTTCTGTACGCTGCACTTTTCTCTCTATGCCACGTACACCCCCTATTCTCTACGTTGTGTGCATGCATGCGGTGCAAGCCAAATGCACGAACGCTGCACGTTTTGCTCAGGACAGCGATTTGATGATTGTTGTTCGGAGTGTTCTTTTGGGTTCTGGTTGAAACGAGTGGTAATGTCCATGTGAAGGAGTTTTTTTCTGTGTTTTGTGGTCTGCCCGACGATGGTCAGTCGCGGGACCATGTCACTCCGCAACATGCGGCACACTACAATGTAGAATCAAGGTCTTTCTTGAACGTTCAGTCACAACTTGCTGCTAAAGACATACTACAGCAGCTGTACTTAGGAGACAAAACTCAAAATGCCTGACAGAGCTCTGGCTGTCTAGCAAGTAGTGGGACGCTGGCCAACTCAATGCAAACCAAAGTGAAGTGACACTACATTGGGGAGTTTGTGGCAGAACGTACCTCATGCTGACAGCAAATCCTTGTGTCACCTCGCCAGCATTGGGGCCTACAAAGTGGAAGCCAACTATGCGATGCTGCTTGTTCTCTTTCACGCAAACCAGCTAAGAAGTGAGACAGCATGAAAATATGCACCAACAAAATTATATCAATGACTGAACTTGGTAAACATATTCAAGGCCCTCAAACGGCTACACCAAATATCTTTTTCCTTGTACTTCTAAAGGGTACTTCTATACACAGTCAACTACATCAGCGTCCTGACAACTACTTCAGAAGTACTGAAAAATGGACGACAACACATGGCGTAGTGCCCATCAGTTGGTCTGCTTTCTCTTTTTTCTGGTCTTGGTACAGAATATCATGAAAACGGCACGCAGGACCCTTCAGCCAGTTGATAGCAACACGACTTCACCTTCATTGATGTGATTGAAGCAGCTGTTTGGAAAATCATTACCTACCGTAATGTAAGCTTGTGTTGCTGATGCAGCAAACGAGGTCGACTGGAGAGTGCGTGCATGCAGTGGTGGGGAATTCGGAAATCTAAAAAGTAGACTAGACCCTTGCAAGTATTATGCATGGACATCTGAAGTAAGATAGAAAACTCACCTTAGTGTAACACGATGAATGGTCAATGTCAGTGATGGCATATTCCAATGGACGGTAGTTTGCATGGAAAACCTGGATGTGGAAAACGGTCACACGCACGGACACACCCCCCCCCCCCCACACACACACACACACATGCGGACGTGTGAGACACGCATGCACACGCACACACACACACACACACGCACAAAGCAAAGCTGTCGTTGTCTTGCACACAGTGACACATAACTGTACATCAATGAATGCAAAGATGGAATTGCTGAAGTGCATCCACATAACACCATTCTACACGTGGTAAAAGTTCAGGAAAGAACACAAAAACAAACTGAGAAGTAGAGCTCCACCAGTGATTCATCAGCTAGATTCATCAGCTAACTGTCTACCATGGTCGAGGAGATGCACGCACCATGTGTGTACGGGAGATAAGAGCAACATGTAGTAAGCAATCAGCAATCAGTTTACATTGCAGATGTACAATGTAGATCTGCAATGTAGATGTACAAAGACTACATGTACAATCACAGCTAGCTGCACGTACAAGGCTGCGTTTAGTTCACGTGATGGGTCCGGGTACAACAAGTGAAGAGTGGATGAATGCACAGTACAGCCTGCAGCACTGGGTTCGAGTGTTCTACGTTTGACTGGTGAAGTGCCTAATAGTGAAGTATGACAGAGAGACACTATTAGAAACTACTACTCGTAGTTAACTGAAATCATTGTGTGGTAAAGGATATAGCCAAGCCAAGAGAAGAACATCTGAAAGGGAGTTCCAGTGGAGAGTGGTCACCATACCTCAATGTCACTCTCTCCATGTCGCTGAATAGCATCTTCCTCAGACAGACCAACACAACCATACTCCAGTGGTGTGAAAACTGTAGTTGGCACCTGCAGCAGCAGCAGCAGCAGCAGCAACAACACACACTGGCCATTGTTAGAAGAGAGATTCAGATCAACAACATGGCGACCGTCATCGGCATGATTGGCAGGTTAGTTCCAAGAGAGTGCCACACACATGAATGGCATTTTGATGGCAAAGAGGAAAAATGGAAAGGACAAGTAGGCTGTTATTAAGTTGAAGTTGTTCAAGTAGTCTGGTACCTGTACTGTTTTGGCCAGAGGGGGGGGGGGGGGGGGGGGGGGGGGAGTAGTCTGGTAGTGTTTTGGCCAGGGGGGGGGAAGAGGAGTACATGTAGGCTTGCTCACCAAATCATAGTTCATTTGTTCTGAACTGCCTGCAAATAGGCGTCTGGCAAGCAGCTTGCCAGAGCGGATTGCAACCGGTGTTAACTCGGGACAGCCCTGCATAGCAAACGCAAAGAGAGAGAGAGAAAGAGAAACAAGACGTCAACGCTGCTATTACTGATGTCATGATATCCAAGCTTCACTCACCGTAAATCACCCACACCACAGCCACATTGTGTCGATACCAGGTGATGCGAATGACATCATCTCATGGTTCGTATGGAGTAGCAAATGGCAAGCCAGTACCTGTGACCGTCACGCCATACACACGCAACTCAAACGATGAGCTAATCTCATAGTCTCTAAACCGGGTATGACTCGTCGGCAGGGCAGCAACTAAGTACCAAATTCAGGCATATTTGTACTTCAGTAAAAAGAAGTTCAGAACTCCCATGTAGCCTCGTCCTGCGTAGAGGAGAGGGCGATCAGAGAAGAGATACATGTTCTGTAAGAGCAGTTCTGGTCAGGCTGCTGCACATCATCACAGTTTGAGGAAGCACAGCGGCTGCTTCACATCATGGCGGTTTGAGGGAGCACAGCGGCTGCTTCACATCATGGCGGTTTGCGGGAGCACAGCGGCTGCTTCACATCATGGCAGTTTGAGGAAGCACAGCGGCTGCTGCACATCATGGCAGTTTGAGGGAGCACAGCGGCTACTAGATGAGCACTAACCTGCAGTACATCACCTATAGCAGAGATGTGCGGTACTGATGTTTGCTCGGGGCACTCAGCAGACCCTATGAGCTTGCCAGTGTGGGTATCAGCTTGTACTCCTATGGATTCCAAACCCAGTGACTTTGTACTAGCAGTTCTACCTGAAAAAGAAGATCAGAATGACAAAAGAGCATCAAGCTTAGCCAGGCAAGGGAACACTTCCTACAGATACGATTGGAGAGAGAGAGAGAGAGAGAGAGAGAGAGAGAGAGAGAGAGAGAGAGAGAGAAGCGAATGGTCAAATGGCCTCAAAGTTCATTTTTTAAACAAATATTTCAATTATCATATGGTTAAAATTTTCTAGGAACCTGCGCATTCCACCCCAAACTCCTCTAGAGCCTCCTCAGGATTTCGCCAATCAAACACATGACTGTGGTACCATCAAAGTGCAGCATGTGATGGAGCAGTTGTCAGCATGTGACGGAGCAGTTGTCAGCATGTGACGGAGCAGTTGTCAGCATGTGACGGAGCAGTTGTCAGCATGTGACGGAGCAGTTGTCAGCATGTGACGGAGCAGTTGTCAGCATGTGACGGAGCAGTTGTCAGCATGTGACGAAGCAGTTGTCAGCATGTGACGGAGCAGTTGTCAGCATGTGACGGAGCAGTTGTCAGCATGTGACGGAGCAGTTGTCAGCATGTGACGGAGCAGTTGACAGCATGTGACGGAGCAGTTGTCAGTGTCAGCATGTGACGGAGCAGTTGTCAGCATGTGACGGAGCAGTTGTCAGCATGTGACGGAGCAGTTGTCAGCATGTGACGGAGCAGTTGTCAGCATGTGACGGAGCAGTTGTTGACAACTACTAATATGTGGTGCCCATGGTAGACGAGGAGACACTGCAGCTCACCGTGCAACACTGCCCAAGAACCTGCGCCAGCACCTCAGAGAGGAGTGATTCTTGGACACCCCACTTTTAGCGGCCTAGTAGCTGAGAATGTTCATAAAAGAGGAATACCACACTGATTAGTGTAACTAGAGGGATGTTCCTCTAAGAGGATGGATGGGTATTCTAACAGTACAATGCGAGTCGCATAACCAGTTACCAATGACCTTACCAGTCGCAAACAGGACAGTATTGAAGACTTCAGTATGCTCCACCACAGACGAGTTATCAGCGACTGCTTGCCACGTCACGAGTATCTCGTTCTCGCCGTGCCTCTGCAGCTTGGTTGGAGAACTGTTACGTAAGAACCGTGTTCCTTCATGCTCCATATGTGCAGCTACCAGCGAGGATATACTCTACCATAAGGCACACAAGTGACAGTGCAGCCTTCGCAATGTGAAAAGGTTGGGCAAGAATTGTCAGGAAAGTCCCTTGCATTTTCACACTACAGAAAACCACCAGTATAGTATGCATGGTGCATCGCCATAACAGGGTGCATCGCCATAACAGGGTGCATCGCCATAACAGGGTGCATCACCATCACGGGGGTTCATCACCATTACGAGATTAGATATCTGAAGCAATTCGTATCCACACGCCGGTGATTCAAATGACGGCGACGCTCAAGAAACTTCCGCAACAATTGTCGACAATGGAGAGAGAAAGGGTCAACAAGGGTGTTTCAAGACGTTGTAGTACACATTACAGCATCTTGGAGGATAAACCCAATCCAGAGATCTAGCAAACAGAACAGGGTGATGTAGCAGTAACTACAGTACTGGTTCTTACTTCAGTGGAATAGCAGTATGCTCCTTAAATGGTCTGTGCAGCCCACATGCAAAGTTCTATAGAGACATGACTCTCTGAGTCTTTACACATACCTGGTCAAAGCCCCGTAAGCAGATCGATCTAACCATGACTGATGTGTCATAGCCAAGACCCGTAAGAAAGCCAGCACACTCCAGTGCAACATCTACAAGATTAGATGATGTCAAGGAAATACACACACTAACAACAGTGGTGGCGGAAATGGAGATGGCCCCTCCACGGCCACAGCACTCATGCAATGGCAATGCACAGTGATATCCATATTATACCACCACACAGTACTGGCAGCAAACTATTCACCTTCCTGGATTGTAACTCGAGTTGGGTCCCTCCTAGACTCATCAGGCAATCTGGGGCAATATCTTCAGATTGAGTGACTGGAATAAACTAATGATTTGAAGACTCCACGTGCAGATCTCTAGTCTGTCAAACGGCGCATAACACATGCCACACATCTAGGGGTGAAACGAGTATCTATTTTGACCAATCGATCACTCGTTCATAATATTTGATCGAGTATCCGATTATTTCGAGTATATATCAAAATTCAAAAGGGCTAGATTTGTGAGTTCTCGACCAATTCGGGAAGAAATTATCTGTGAACACAAAACAAAAGTCGTCAACGTCTTGTACAGAGTGTAAAGTAACGATTTTCATCAGTACTTTCATATCTCAGAACGTTAACTGACGTTACTTGCCGTGGTGGTCGCATCGTCCAAGTCATAAAATACTGACTCAAAGGCATGCATAACACATGCAGTGGACGAGCTAGCGGTACAACAAACGTTTTTGAAAAATAGAATGCCAATACTAAAAAAGAAAAGAAAAAAGGATCGAGTGCAAAATTTCGAATACTCGCTCGTTTGAAATTTTCGAACGAATACTCCAATATTCGAACTAATCGTTTCACCCCTACAAACATCACATGCTCTATGTAGCGGCAAAGCTGCATCGGCAACTAGGCAACAGGCGTGAACTGACGCACCAGCCTGCCGAGCAAGATTTTGCCATCCATCGACTAGGCGCTAGGCATGAGCTGATGGTGTGATGGTCAGAGGAGACAGAAGACAGGATGGATTTGTCTCATGTAATCTGACACTGTTTGCAGCTACATAGAGTGTGTGATATTCAACGTTTGTTGACTGCCATTTTGCAGACTGCCGAGTGAGAGATGAAAGAAAGGATACAGCTAGCTCCAACCACCAGCCTGCAACGACATACACACAACAGATAGACAGCATTTCACCAGCCGACCTACTACTACTGTACAATGAAGTAATGGCAATGTAACGAGACTAGATTTCCATCACCTTTGATATTATATTATAGAGATATCACGCAAGAGGTACACAAAAGGAAATAATGTTGTCTGATGATTGGTTTTTACCATGAAACTCTGGGTAACAACGAAACAGCCCTATTTTTTCCTTTTGTGTACCTCTTGCGTACTACGCTCTGCCCATTTCAATCACACATTTTTCCTCATATAGCAGACATCACGATATTTAGAGTAGGGCTGAGATTATCCTGAATTTACCATTCTTTCCACATATCGATTACTAGTACTCTTTTAAGGACCGAGTACTGGATTACAACCAAATTAAAACTGAACTCTTGCCATAATTGTTTCAGCTCTAGTTTAGAGTGAGACCATGTTCTGTTTGTTAGATACACACGGTGAAAAGTAATGCGACCTTTGCTGGTCCACTAACAGCTGCGCAAATAGTCAGAGACCATGAAATCAACTACTAGCACTTGGCACAGCTACCTACGTTTTGCCTGGTGGTGATTGTAGAGTGAAGATGTCATCGCTTGTGATTCCTAGCTCTGTACCGTCAATCTAGTAACAAGACAGTACACCGGCAGCAGGAACAGCAGGAGCAGCAGCAAAAACAGCAACAGCATTTGCACTTTAGTCACACACAATGACAGCAATGGTCCACTGTTACCCATAATGAAAAATCTGCTTGAAGTGTCAGTAATCAGTTTATAGTCATAACATTGCCTCGTATGTGCAAGCCCTTCTCTTGTTCATGTAAGCCGTATACCCCTTCGTAAATACATGTACTGGTACAAACATATTGCTTATAGAGAGTGAGGATTGTACAAAAACACGTGCCAAGTTTCAGATTACAGAGGGATTAGAATAACAGCTGTTCCAACGAGATGAATAGTTCGTGACTATTGGCAAAAATTGTAACATAACTGAACGGCCTAAACTCGTAGAACGCAATGTGCAGCCATTGCTTCATTCATACACTGCTTACGTCTGGGTATTGAGGGCGGCCACCGACAGCTACAACAAAATGATCTGCGGTGATTCGGCGCTGTACAGTAAAACACACACACGCACGCACGCACGCACGCACACACACACACACACACACACACACACACGCACACACACACACACACACACACACACACACACACATATACAAAAGCACGTATGTACACACACATGCGCGCACATGCTATTCTTTCAATTATGCATAGCTTCAAGAATAAATTTCTGCATTGACATTGACCACCGCCATTGCGCTCTGTGGCCGATCACATGCATACACTCACTTGCTCACCTCTTGTTGCTGTTGTGAACAAGTGAGGGTATGCATGTGGTCGGCCACAGAGCGCAATGGTGGTGATGAATGTCAAAGTGAATGTCAACGCAGAAAGTTTCAACGGCCGAATGCTGCTGCTTACCCTCTGGTTCAAGAATAAAGTTCAATAAACCCGCAACATCCTACAAGCTGTTCTTTCAATTAAAGTCTTCAAAAATATATATTTCAAACTGAATCCAAGGCATAGAGAGGCAAAACCCAAAAACGTTCGGGAGTGGATAGTAGCCACCTATGCTAACAATGATCCATAACTGACCTCATTTTGTCTCTTGTCAACCGCACGCACAGTGTGCGCGTCAGAGAATGTACCATATGCATTGATGTAGTCGATAGCTCTGCATGAAAACAGACAGCACACACCATCAGTGAGACTATGCGTACAACAGGCCCGGAGTTTTGAATGTCATGCCTTTCATTCCAAAACGTGGTGTTCTTTCCGCCGTACTGCACATGCATTTAATGTTCCATGACTTCCTCCAACACCACCAATGTTTCATATGACTCTGGCCGGTCTAATATACCCACACACACGCACCCCCCCCCCCCCCCCCCCCCACACACACACACACAGTGGATCAGTTGGAATTCAACTGACCAGTGATGGTGCACACTGAACATGCAAATCACCTCTGCTCCAAACACGTGAGGAGCGGGCATCACGCGATGAGATCAATAGAGCTTCATAATTCATGCACCCTTTCATGATGTCATCTACGTAGATGGCATAAATAAGTTACAATAACTCCCTGACAGGTACTCACTTGTCTTTGAGCTGTACGCGATAACCCCAGTTCAGAGAGCGAATATAATTGTTCACATTTCCACACAGTGTCGACCTTCAATTGGAACACAGAAGTACATGCACAACAGCAATAGCCATGATGGTGCCACCAACTGCAGCAATGGTAGTAACAGTATAGCATTGGCAGGGATCACCACCCCTATCATAGCCAACCATCACTACAAACCATCACTACAAAGTTACAAACCATCACTAGAAATCATCACAAGCATCTTAGCCAGAGCCTACACGGTGATCCGCGCTGTGCTTGACCTTCTGTGTCATCTCGGTGGTCTCGGTATTGTTGACCCCAGTCAGTTGAGCGATGAACATCACCGCTCTCTGTCCATCACCCATACACTCATTGACAACATCATCCAACAGCAGTCATCCATGGAAGGCATCTCAGGGTGGATGTGGGCACTGAAGGCAACAGCTAGGACAACCACTGGAAAGAAGGAGAAGGACCATATCTTCACCCTGATGGCCCAACTCGAGCCAGACCTCCAACGCACCCTACAGCTTGCCTCTGAGAAAGGCACCTCAAGTTGGCTGACATGTCGGCCATTGCGGAGGCATGGCTTCACCCTGCACAAGGGTGCCTTCTGCAATGCCATATGCCTCAGGTTTGGATGGGATCCTGCTCGCTTACCTGCAACATGTGTGTGTGGAAAGCCATTCTCGACCACCCATGCCATGTCATGTGCCATTGGTGGTTATCCCTCGTTACGGCACAACGAGGTCCGAGACCTAACAGCAACACGGCTACGCGACGTCGCACATGATGTTCATGTTGAGCCGCACCTCCAGCCTATGGCCGGTGAGCGCTTTCCGCTGCGGTCCACCATCACGGCAGAACATGCTTGGCTGGATGTAGTTGTCAGCGGTCTATATGGTGGACGGTTTGAGAGGACCTTTCTAGACGTCCGGGTTTTCAACCCATTTGCCCCCTCAAATCGGAAACCAACGATCGCTGTCAGCTACAGAAAGCATGAAGACTCCGGGAGAAAAGGAGGAGCTACGAGAGTCGCATTCTCAACGTAGAGCACGCTTCCTTCATCCCCGTGGTATTTAGTACGACTGGTGGCCAAGGGAAGGCAGCCTCCAGCCTCTTTGGCCGCATTGCAGGCATCAAGTCTGAGAAGAACAGTGAGCCATTCTCCGTGGCAATGGCTTTGATCAGAGCCCAGCTGTCCTTTGCTCTCGTGAAGGCGGCTGTGGCATACCTTCGTGGGCATCGCCACAAGTCGAGCAGGTATGACCCTCATGCATATTCTGCTACACTTGCTGTCTCCGAGTCCGAGTGTCATCTGTAGGCAACCTGTCTGTTTCCCCGGCCTTCCCCTTTCTCTGTATCATTTTGTATGTTAAAATTTTCGCGGATTCCGTTTTTTTCCCCTTCATTATAATTTAACGAGAGAGCTTGGAAGCTCAGGGCCCTACGCTATGCTTTTTTGCCTTGATGACCTAGGCAAAACAAGCATAGGGATGTTATACATTTTTCATTTCTCCTATTTTTTTTTTAAGACATAACCTGGGATTCGAACCCGCACTATCGCTCTGCATGCATCCCCCGATACACTTCGCATACATACTAATTCTTCCAAGTTGCTTCACGTTATGATCTTGCATTTGAAAGCCCTATTTGAATATTGTGGCCAGCTGTTTGTGGCCAGCCGTCTTTGATGGTACGGTACGGGACAGGTACGGTCGAGGGTAATACGACACCGTCTACCACCTTCATGACCTAGGCAAAAAAAGCATAGGGATGTTATAAGTTTTTCAATTCTCCTATTTTTTTCAAGGCATAACCTGGGATTCGAACCCGCACAATCGCCCTACATGCATTACCCGATACACTTCGCATTCATACTAATTCTTCCAAGTTGCTTCACGTTATGATCTTGCATTTGAAAGCCCTATTTGAATATTGTGGCCAGCTGTTTGTGGCCAGCCGTCTTTGATGGTACGGTACGGGACAGGTACGGTCGAGGGTAATACGACACCGTCTACCACCTTCATGACCTAGGCAAAAAATGCATAGGGATGTTATAAGTTTTTCAATTCTCCTATTTTTTTTCAAGGCATAACCTGGGATTCGAACCCGCACAATCGCCCTACATGCATTACCCGATACACTTCGCATTCATACTCATTCTTCCAAGTTGCTTCACGTTATGATCTTGCATTTGAAAGCCCTATTTGAATATTGCGGCCAGCTGTTTGTGGCCAGCTGTCTTTGATGGTACGGTACGGGACAGATACGGGATAGCGCCAGACGGAGGTCCGTCCGCCACAAACAAACAAACAAATAAACACCAAATTAAAGCTGTGTGGACCCTGGCTAGCGTCAGACGTTACTGAAGTAACGTCTTCTACATAGCTACGGGAATAATAATAATAATAATAATAATAATATGTAAATAGGCGTCGAGGCGACAATAGTTTTAGAATTGCGATCAACAGAACGAGCTGAACCGACATTTTCACAAAGGCTTTTATTGTATTCAAAAAACGAGTGTATACGAAGGCAGTGAAGAACATGTAAGAAAGAAAAAATGTGATATGGAAGAAATGATGAACAAAAAATTGTACTTCGAACTAGTTTTCGCACAACACTCCTCAGGAAGCTACGTTGTACTAATGAAAAACAATCCAGAAAGATACTAATAAAGAGAAATGGAGTGAGAAGAAACAACACCTATGAAAATGATGGTTTATTCTGATTCTTCTTTTTCTGTTTTGTGCCGTGCTCGTCATGGTTATAAGTTGCAGTTGAGTGTGTTAGAAGCCGTTTGTCAACGTATTCATAAGCCTAATCTGTGTGTCCAGAAGGACAGCATTATTCGTTTGAAATTGTTTTAGTAGCAACTTGTTCTGTCTGTTTGGCTCTGGTTGGCCATGGTGTCATATCTTGTGTCACAGTATACTAGTAGTCCTTACAAGTTCGTTAAGTGCTTTCGCAGTTTTTCCTGTTATTACCTTAGTGCTAGGATTATCATTTTCATAGGTGTTGTTTCTTCTCACTCCATTTCTCTTTATTAGTATCTTTCTGGATTGTTTTTCATTAGTACAACGTAGCTTCCTGAGGAGTGTTGTGCGAAAACTAGTTCGAAGTACAATTTTTTGTTCATCATTTCTTCCATATCACATTTTTTCTTTCTTACATGTTCTTCACTGCCTTCGTATACACTCGTTTTTTGAATACAATAAAAGCCTTTGTGAAAATGTCGGTTCAGCTCGTTCTGTTGATCGCAATTCTAAAAATAATAATAATAATAATATTATCTTTATTAGGATGACCCAGAGGCTTGTCGCCTATCTTTAAGCGCAGTTTAGCGCGTATTGGGTTATGATTTCTTTTCCTTCTGTTTGTATTTAGCCCTTGACCGGTTATTATTTTCCTTCTCTTTATTTTGCGCTACATTTTATTTTTCTGGTTTAGAGTTCGTACCAGGGAGTGGTAAAATTACTACTCCCTGGTTCGTACCGATTTTTTTCAAGAAAAATGCAATTTCGTATATACACCAACACCATTGAATCCACATTTTTATCCCGGTTTGAGAGTACGCTGGAATATTTTTAGGGAACTCTTGTGCTGGTTCACATGTCTATGATTTCGAAATGCACAGAAACATCTCTCTCTCTCTCTCTCTCTCTCTCTCTCTCTCTCTCTCTCTCTCTCTCTCTCTCTCTCTCTCTCTCTCTCTCTCTCTCTCTCTCTCTCTCTCTCTCTGTCTGTCTGTCTGTCTGTCTGTCTGTCTGTCTGTCTGTCTGTCTGTCTGTCTGTCTCTCATGGATTAATGGATCATGAACCACACTGAGCTCAAACTTTCCCAAGATATTTTCTGGTGCAAAGAAGTCCTTAAACCACCTCAGGAGTCGACATAATTAATCAGCTGGCAAGGAAGATTGCTATCCTCCCAGCGTCCATGCAGCATGTGTTTATAGCTAGCAGACATGCACTTATCAGAGCTGTACTGCAAGCACTACCGTAAAAGTCCGCAAATAAGTACGTATTTACTTTCGAATTTAGTGACCACACCCGTACTAACTTTCGGGCGGGTACTGACTTTCGGGCACGAACTAACTTTCGGACCTGCCTTGTGTGTAGTGGAGAAGTCATTTTCATGTCGATGTACATGCTACGTGCTGCATGTGCGCACCGTACCGGTACTTATTTCGGGCAGTATGTTTATCGGGCTTGACTTGACTTCAACAGACAGAGCCAAAAGAATGAAGGGGGTATTTCTTTCGGGCAGGTACTTATTTACAGACTTTTACGGTATGATACAAAAGCGACGCGTGACACATGCGTACGAGTACATACCAGTCATGCGAAACATCATCTGGCACGTTCCAGCCAAGTTTGGAAGATTTCTGTGAAAACAGTAAATACAGTGGTAACCAAACACACAATCTAACCATGAGGTAATGAGACATGGTGTGCTGCAAGCATTGGGATATTCCCATAAGCAATAGCATAGGCTGGCAGTGATCCGTGTACATGTAAATTGAATTGAGAGCCTCTTCGCTACACCGAAAACCCTACACGCGCCATCCTTAAAAGCAAGTGGTCTCTTCGCTGCAAATTACTAATTTCTCAAACAATATTTTGGGTAGGAGCCACCATTGTTGATACACAAATGTAGAGAGTAACACTATGTTCTCACCTTGATTAGAGTTCCAGCTAAAGCGGCTTGGTGCATTAGTTTCTTGGGTATGCAGCCGACATTGACACATGTACCGCCTAGTCCCCATGTTGAGCCTGTACAGAACAGTGCACAGAGCACAATGTGTACCAGTAGTAGACAGTAGTCACTGGAGAAAAATAAGTATGAACGATAACAACAGCAGTAGCGGTAGCGGCCAGCAACAACATCACAACCAGCTGATACTTCAGCAGCAGCAGCAGCAGCAGCAGCAGCAGTACAAACAGAAGCAGACACAGCAGCAGTCGCAGCAGCAAGTATAAACAATAAGCACTGTACATGCAGTATCTAGGACACAAAAAAAACAGTTTACACACATAATAGTATATATTGAACAGAAGTCTGGACAGAACAGGAACAAATCTCTAACAACATTGAACAGGAGAAAACATATCGATACTACAGTCCCACTGTTTCTAATGATGGTGGAAAAAGGGGACTTTACTGAAACAAAATGAACCAGTTAGAAAGGGCAACGTTCACGATGAACAACAGCTGTCCAGTATCTTAGCACTGTCTTTCACCTACCTTGAGATGATGGCTGGACATAGTCCAGAACAGCTACCTTCTTGCCAAAACTAGCGGCTAATATAAGGTATAACGTACATTTACCATGCATCATTCAGACGACAAATGCACACCCGCACATAAGCACGTGCCGACACACACACACACACACACGCACACACACACCGGTGCAAAGTCATTAGGCCTACCAGGCTGCAGTATCACACCCAGGAACTGGCACACACCTAACAGTCCTATTCAGATTTCAGTGTTCTAAAGCTACATGTACACTGGGGATGTGTACAAGGCCGGTATCGGCACTGGCTGGAAGAGTTGAGAACATTGCACACTGGGGATGTGTACAAGGCCGGTATCGGCACTGGCTGGAAGAGTTGAGAACAGTGCACTACTTCCCTACCCCTCACCCATTGTTCAAGTTAGCGCGGAGCTCTGGCTGAGGCATGGAGAGTTTCCCGCCCGCCTACTCCTAGGTTGCGGCTAGGCGTATACAGGTGCTAAATGCATCGTGTATCAGCCCATTGGGAACTACAATGGAGGATGGGTGTAGCCTGAAAATTCAGATAAATGTATAATTTTACCTGAATTTTCAGGCCAATAAAAATTGGCGTAGCCAAGAGACCGCTAAGGGACTATCGCAAAAGTTTGCAGAAGCCCATGAAATGTACAAAATTAGTTTCGGGTGAGACCTCCTCCCCTCAAACGAATAGTGTCACAATCCAGGCTTCGCACCATGCATGCATAATATTATACATACGCACATTCGTCAAGCCTGTTTTGCGATTTCGGCTAGAACCCCCTCCCAATCAAAATGAATTTGTTCGTTTTGGGGGGCATCTGTGAACTTTTGCGATGGCCCCTACTACTGCAATAAAGAAGTGTGGATATAATGGGTGACTACAGACCAGAATTCGCATCTTGGGAAATCATACAACAAGTGCCAGCACAGTCACATACTGTAGAACGGGTTTTAGCGACTATTAATTTTAGCGTTTTCCCATTGTCAACCGGTTAGAGACGTTTTATTTTAGCGATTTGCAGCGATTTTACTCACGGACCACCAGTGCACTACTAATGTCTCAACGGATTAGCGACTTGAAACTTAAGCGAAAATGAGTAGATCGCTAAATTCGCTAGGGTTTTACGTCGCTAAAATTACCCGTTCTACAGTAATCCGGGGACGTCATTATGTTGATTTAAAATCATCATTGCATGTACGCGCATACAAGAGGGCTAGCTCAGGAGTCTGTGAGTCAGGACCCTTTGCTATGCTTGTTCCATCATGATCATTTTGCTGAGCTCGCTCACGTCATCGGTCACATGATCACTCATGTGTGACGACAGCCAGTCGGTCACACGCTGACGAACCACACACGCACACACACACACATGCACGCACGCGTGCGCGCACACACACACACACACATGCACGCACGCGTGCGCGCACACACACACATACTACTTCTCGTAATGTTTTCTGCATAGCTATGGAAACTAAAATAGTTCGTGCCTTCGGTCCTTACCTTCCTTTGAACAAGCAAGACCCCCAGATCCACCACCAATCACCACCAAATCATAGTGTGCAGAGGCTGTCAAAAATACGCCACGCACAAAAAAAAACAAAAACAACAACAACAAACAATCCTTGCCCTGTTGCCCTGCCAATTAGTATTAAATCTACGCATGTTATGTGTGTACCAGAGGTCGAGGAAGACGCGTGACGACAGCCACCCAATCCAGCAAGTAATCTCCGTGGTATCATTCTCACAGCAATCGCCTACTTGAGTACAATTACCCTCTGCTCTATGCCTTTTGTGGATGTGCCTCAAAACATGTTCAAGTCACACACACGATGGTACGAACAGAACTCAGCTTTTTTCAGTCAGACAATCATCACCCCTGATCACGATCAATGAAAATCCATGAAGCGACAACAACAGCAACACAGATTAGAGATCATGATGAGAATAGAAGGGCAAGAACGCAGATTCAAAAATTTAATGCTCACGTGCGGCTAGCTAGCTGTTGATCATTGATTGTGGAAATGTGATGTCATTGATTATGACCGAAATATTTTGACGTGAACATAATCAGTCATTGCATGAGCTAGGTATACCTGATATCAAGACTAGGAGTACTATTAATTAAACCAGGGTTATGTACTCTTGCTGATATACGTAGACCCGGGTGCTCGAATCAGAAACGATTTGACAGCTGTGGAATTTCTCATCTGTAAATTTCAATAATGTCAGAATATAATTTTGGAGAGGCGATGGAACAGGGAAGAGAGTCTGGCTTGACCCACCCAGCAGGAATTCAGAACCTGGGTGCGCTACAACACAAGCTACAGTACGCAGTAAAATTGTCGTATTTCCTTCGGATTTTTTATTTGAAAATTGGGTGCTCGAATCAGAAACAGCGAACTCGTCAGATCGTCTCCGATTCAAGCACTCGGGTCTACCATCGTCTACGCTTGGTGTGGCAGTTGAGGGCAGGGAGTAGTAACTTACTACTTCATTTTTGAGAGCAAGATGGTCAGTGGAGCCGCAGATTCAGCAGGTCTTTGGCAGCACCGTACAGGAGACCCATATCCTCGAATCAAGGACCCAGCAAAAAGTGGGTCGCGAGTATTTCAAAAACCATTTACCGGGCAGCGCTGAAATTTGGCATACCGTTAGCGGGCCAAATGTTGATGGTATTTGTGAAATCTAAACGAAATCGGAACAAGTTTAGGTACAATTTCAGGGTGTTTCTGTTTTGGTACCCTGTGTCTCATTCGAGCACCCGGGTCTATGTACAATGATGTACGTCAATTATTTTCAATTTTTTCAGTAAACACACCAATTATTCTTCAATCTGGTACGAGTAAAGTTTACAGCCTGTAGTCAACTGTAGACTGTAGTATGGGAGTGAAGTTTTCTGCTGCTGAGTGATGATTATGCGGACAAGTGGTGGCAATGGAGGTGGTCGACGATCAGGCAGCTATGCTGAGCAATTATGAGGTGTACTCAATTCTAAAGGACGCCAAGCAGAGCAAGAAACATAGCCATCAGAATGTGGCTACAATCGTCTATGAAACATCATCATACTTGGAGAAGACTCCCTGCGGCAAGCAGAGCGAGGAAGCAGTGACGAAGTTTCTTCAAGCCCTGCGCGAATTCAAACTAACCAAGTTGGAAAAACTGCAACTGCTGAACCATAGGCCAACGTCTCAAGTGGAATTGCACTTTCTTATTGCAGAAAGCGAGGAGAGATTTGGCGACGAGGAACTGCAGAAAATATTGGAGATTGTGGAAAGCACTCTTGATGCTCCTGATTCAGAGTAAGCGGAGTTCTACTTTTGATCATGTTTTTAAACTAAAGACAGTTTTGAAGTAAAATAGTTCCAGCACGAAACAATTTATACAACACATGTCGCCAACCTAGTATTCATGTATGTACGTGCTATCCTTGAGTTGACCTCGGATTGGTATTCTGGACTGTATCTTTCACTGATCTACGTTGATATCACACGCAGAATTGTTCCTCAGCATTTAGGACCAGACTGAGCTGTAGTGCATTGTCTGTCAGTTATTCGTTGTATGCTGGAAGTCGATGAGTGAGAAGAAAATGCGAATCAACAGCCATTGTTGCATTTGAAGGGCCCGTATAGAAGTCTGATTACATTTACATTTTTCAAAAACAAACCTGCCAACCGCATCGCACCCATTTACTTTTTTATTAGGGCATGTTTCATCGGCCGGATATGGATCCACATCCTTCTGATCCAATATGTGCATGTTTTTTTTTTCGACCGGACCCAAGTCCGATGGATTTGGATCCGTCCCGACCAACCATCCACCATCCTCAGGGAGCAGTGCTGACCGGATCCACTGCATTCTACTTTGCCTAAACTGCGCACTCTATTGCTATCTGTGTACAAGTGGTGGGAGAAAGGTGACATTGTGAAATCATCACTTTTCTCTGTGAAATCTCTCAACATCACTCAAAATTCGAAATCCTACATTTAACCCAGACATTGCGTGCGCGCTTGTGTATGTATGCGTGTGTGTGTGTGTGTGTGTGTGTGTGTGTGTGTGTGTGTGTGTGTGTGTGTGTGTGGTCAATTCTTCAGCCTTGCAAGCTGTTGAATGGTGCAATCTCAGCACAAGTTGCTATGGTTTCCGCCGTAGCATCGCTATCATCGCCTCTGGCGATGGGCGTCGAAAGGTCAAAAGGTCAAAAGGTGTGTGTAATGGGTCACACATTTTACTGTTGTTTTTTTAAGCCATTTTTCTTGAAAGTATACCCGTGAAAACTTCAAAATGTTTAAACAGAATTATTATCAATAGTGTGTGATTGGAATTCTGCTGTATCATGCATGAACGGCTAGCACGACATGTAGTACAATCATGTAGTGACACGTCGATCATGTGATGGGCGATGCCTGACGTTGGTGTCCTGTTTCGCACCATTGCACACAACCGGGAGAGATTTTCATTGAAGTGAACGATTTTTTTCGTTCAGTGAGGATGTGATTATACTTGCCATGAAAGTGTAGTGTGGTAAGCAGGGAGTAGTAAGGGGCCAGTGGAAGTGCTTTGGAATTACCATATTATCTCCATTATAAGCCCCGGGCTTATATTTACTTGTACAACCAGTCCGAACCCTAGGCTTATAATTATTAGAGACTGGGCTTCTACTTGAGACTGGGCTTATAGTTTTTCATCCATCTGGTAGAGTCTACAATGTACGTTGGTCAATTTTTTTGTTATACCAATATAGCTATGAATAGGATGAAGGCCGCAGACATCACGCAACTACGTTTACTTGTTTGACATGTATTACCGTGTATTTTATAACAAAAATATTATTGAAAACCCAGAATATTTTTGTTATAATACACGGTAATCCATGTCAAACAAGTAACGTAGTTGCGTGATGTCTGCGGCCTTCATCCTATTCATAGCTATATTGGCAGTTTTGTACTTCCTTGAATACTGAGTCTGTACTCTTTATCACGGGGATCGTGGGCTTGCACCACAGCATGTGTATGTGACTATGTGTGATACTGTGTGACGTCAAACACACATGGACATTATTCAGATAGTTCACAATTATACGCCCTGCGCTTTTACAGTATTGGAGACTGGGCTTGTATAACTTCCGAAGCCCTTTTGAAGTGCGCTTATAATAGATACTGGGCTTCTACAAGCTACTGGGCTTGTAATAGAGATAATAATTATGGTATGGACATCTTCTGTTTACGAATTGTAGTGTAACAATAACGAATAATGACACACCGAACGCTGAAAAATTGAAGATGTACGGTAAAGCATGAAAATTCACGCAAGCTTCAATTTGTTTCTGGTTGTGAATTCATCTTGATTCTTGTCACCTGGTGTTTTGATTGGAAAACTATAATTTTGCAAAATTTAAAAGGCGTTAAAACGAATATTTGATTGGGTATGACTACGATATCACAAGATTGTGCTGCATATCCCATTACATGTAGATTTATTTTTTAAATATCGCTAATCCGCTTGCTATCTGCATGAAATTGCACACGAGAACGCCTAATGTCCCTGCTGCACACTACCCAGGACATATCCAGAAGGCCGGGTAATGAAATGTGACTTTTCTGCACCGGAAGTGTCTCTCTGAATTCTGCAATTATGATGTGGAAATGCACAGAACAACAAGGCACACGGCTATGTACTGTAGTTTGTTGCAAGACACCGGTGGAATAGAATACCACGGTCGCACTGGTGCCACTCGACTCACTGGCACCACGGCACTCAATGAGTGCGTTCAATTATGCCCGCGAATCCATTCATGAATCACCCCTGGCTATTCACACCACCTCATGTGACTAGGGTGAATGGATTCCGAATCGATTCCAGGGCTCATGACATGAAATCGAACGGCAAGGTTCCATTCATGAATCGATTCAAGTGCGTCATTCGAACGCACACACTGGTACCACAGTGTTACAAAGGTTGTCATAAGTGGCACACCGCCAGTCACCACGCCACCATACTCGGCCTGGTCCCGTCGCCGTGCAGAGGCATGCCATAGACATGTACAGTCTGTATCGGCTATAAAGTGACCGGATATAAGAATAATATTATATCGGCTACAGTGATATTGGTACGAAATATCAAAAGCAAAACGTATTAAACCAATATTATCGGATGTAATGATATATCGGATATTATGATGGCAACAAAGAATCAAAGCATGCATACCGCACTATATTATTATCGGCTATAGTGATAACTTTAAAATACATACATGTAGATACAATTGGGTGAACTCACCCATTCCACAATACTCTGCAAATTTCTGAACCATTCCATTATATACAACGTTTCGGCCAATGGCCTTCTTCAGGTAGTCAATGATGTCCCTAAGGCTGCAAACGAGCGGTATAAATATGTGCCTGTTCCGCCCGAAGCGCGCGATCTATTCTGCTAACGGGGAGGCGGGAACCCCCCCCCCCCAAAAAAGCCAGGTGTAAAGCTGGCCTGCATTGTGTCAGTCAAGCGCAAGGCAGGGAGGCGGGATAATACAAATCAAGATCAAATGCTAAAAAAATCTTAAAAAATATTCAAATTTTCACCCAAAATGCGAAAAAATTATGCTGCCGTTACCATGGCAACCAAAATGGCGTAAAACTTGAATCCCTTGTCGTTCAACGTTCCAAGCAGGGAGTCGTAAAACGAGAGAGCTTGGAAGCTCAGGGCCCTACGCTATGCTTTTTTGCCTTGATGACCTAGACGAAAAAAAGCATAGGGATGTTATAAATTCTTATAAATTTCTCTTTTTTTTAAGACATAACCTGGGATTCGAACCCGCACTATCGCCCTGCCTGCATCTCCCTATACACTTCGCATACATACATACTAATTCTTCCAAGTTGCTTCACGTTATGATCTTTCATTTGAAAGCCCTATTTGAATATGCATTGTGGCCAGCCGTCTTTGATAGTCCGGTACGGTACGGGACAGGTACGGTTGAGGTAATACGACACCGTCTACCGCATTGATGACATAGGCAAAAAAAGCATAGGGATGTTATAAATTTTTCAATTCTCCTATTTTTTTTCAGGCATAACCTGGGATTCGAACCCGCACTATCGCCCTACATGCATTCCCTCATACACTTCGCATTCATACTCATTCTTCCAAGTTGCTTCACGTTATGATCTTGCGTTTGAAAGCCCTATTTGAATATTGCGGCCAGCTGCATATGGCCAGCTGTGTTTGATGGTACGGTACGGTACGGGACAGATACGGGATAGCGCCAGGCGTGACACAAACAAACAAACACCAAATTAAAGCTGTGTGGACCCTGGCTAGCGCCAGACGTTACTGAAGTAACGTCTTCTGCATAGCTACGGGAATAAAGTATTTTACGACTCCCTGGTTCCAAGTGCACGTGGAGGAAGCGCGTGCAAAGCATGTGGTTGTTTTCGATAGTCGAAAGGAATCGATCATTTTGTTTGGTTGTATGGCTTCTTCAGAGCCAAGTGCACTCGAGGCTGCCGATGAGCATGCAAAATATGCTCAAAATGTTGAAAAATGCTGAAAAACCCAAAAATGCGAAAAAAAGCTGAAAAAACCCAGAATGCAAATAATATGCTAAACATAATCTGGACAGGCCTAATGCTGATCCCAGCATACTAACATGCATTACTCATACCTTCCATATTTGGCAATGTGCAATGGGCTAATTAGCGAAGTTGACTGTAATTACGTCGTCTTTTTTTAGCTGGGCCACATAAGAATTTTTTTATCACAGTGCACATAGAAGGGAAAACAAAACAAAGACAAAACAAAAAATATGTTATCACTGTGCACATAGAAGGGGAAACAAAAACAAAACAAAAATAGAAGAACGGGCGCATGTACATAATATTATATGTACTGTTTATTTTTTTAGCTGCGTCACTTTATAAGAAAAAAAATATTTTACCACAGTGCACCTACGGAGGAAGGGGAAACAAAACAAAGGCAAAACAAAAATACAAGAATGGGTGTGTAGGCGCTACATGAGCTGCACTGGTGAGGTGCGGTGGACTCCCCGACCAAGGGTTAGAGAGAGAGAGAGAGAGAGAGAGAGAGAGAGAGAGAGAGAGAGAGAGAGAGAGAGAGAGAGAGAGAGAGAGAGAGAGAGAGAGAGAGAGAGAGAGAGAGAGATGGCACATTATATGCGCGCCAATACATAACACCGTAGATTTACATATGCACATCTCATTTTCTCCCTCGATGTATATTGAGGATTCAGTTGCTGCCAGCCGAGGCTAGTCGAGTTTTGTCCTAACTTTTGTCTAGTTTGTTTCGTACCTCTCTCTTTGTCTACCGACTGAGTATTGGGAAAATATTACTGTCAAAATCCCTCCAATACCTGGGTATGTGTGTGGCGCCGAGAGAATTAGACACGTGACTACATCACTCACTGCTACCATCAGGCGCGTAGCACCGCTGTGGGAGGTGGTCCGGCAGGAGGGGGTCTCCCCCAGGGAATTTTTTTATTAGGGTGCAAAAATGATCCTGCATTCTGGGCTTTTTGAAAAAGTGGTCCGGCCAAAGCTTTTTTTATTATTATTATTTTTACAAAGAGTCTGCTACACCCCTGACCATAACACTCACTGGTACCACGGCCACACTGGTAGAAAGTAGTTCTACCAGCTGTTTGTCTAAGTGCCAGGGGATCTGTTAGTCGGTTGAGAGGTTCCAGCTTGCAGCGTTGGTCAACGCCGGTTACACCAGGGGAAGTCCAGGAAATGCTTGCGGCATTGACATGGGTTGACACATGCCACCAGCATGCATGGTTGGAGGCTGAGATATGCCCACAGTCTCTGCAACTGCTGCTGTACTGGGCTGGGTATAGCCACCAGCATGCATGGCTGCAGGCTGAGGCATGCCAAATGTCCCCATCGCTGCTGCTGCGGAACTGGGCTGGGTATAGCCACCAGCATGCATGGCTGGAGGCTGAGGTATGCCCAAAGTCTCCATCACTGCTGCTGCTGCTGCTGCTGCTGCTGCTGCGGTATTGGGCTGGGTATAGCCACCAGCATGCATGGCTGCAGGCTGAGGCATGTCAAATGTCCCCACCGCTGCTGCTGCTGCGGAACTGGGCTGGGTATAGCCACCAGCATGCATGGCTGCAGGCTGAGGCATGTCAAATGTCCCCATCGCTGCTGCTGCTGCTGCTGCTGCGGAACTGGGCTGGGTATAGCCACCAGCATGCATGGCTGGAGGCTGAGATATGCCCAATGTCCCCACCGCTTTTGCTGCTGCTGCTGCGGTACTGGCAGTATAACCACTGGTTACCTGCTGAAAGTTTGTGCTGATACTAGTGCTAGTCGGGGGAAAGGAAACGCCCCCGTTGCTACTGGCCCTAGCGGTGAGATTCCCACGAGGTCGCTGTAGTGCGGCTCTAAGGAGTTCGTTTTCCGTCCGCGGCGGCAACGCAGGAGGCACTGTAGCAGTGACTGGCTGACTGGCTGGTGTCACCTCTATGGTTAGCTGGGGTGCCGTCGCCGCTCCATGTGTGTCTTGTGTGTCATGTGTGCCGCCTGTACAGTCAATAGCACCACAGAGTAAAAACAGAGAAAGGTCCTCGACACAAGTGATTGCATGTTTGCTCCTTGTCTGGCTAGATTCTCTAAGACGCCTATTTAGTTCTTGCTATTCCCCTGTTTCTGACTCTCAAGATAACAGTTGCGGATGCCTGGAATGCGCACTGCTAACGAACAATGCACCTGCAAAAATGTAGGAAAGAACAAAATCTACCAATAAGATGATCATGTAAAGCAGAAAATTATACAGAAAGTATGCGTACGATCTGGTGTAATCTCTCATACTGCCACTTGAATAACAGATGCTGGCACAAGTTCTGAAAGAACCTTTACGATGTGGCAGCCACTACTTACTACATACTGTACATGTGTAGGTTATACAACCCGGCTCTGCTGTAAACAACCCTACTTCAAAGGATGTGGTTAACCAGTGTAAAGGAAAGTTTGGCATATCCACGTTACCACTGGCTTACGATTGTGTTGAGAAATACAACCAGCTTAGATAAGTTTCGCAGGTGCCAGGCCACCACCATATCCGATTATACCAGGGTGGCAGATGTAGCACCATAAACGGCGGCACCCTCGCCGCTTAACCAGTGTGAAACAACAAAATCTAGAAGAGACCCCAACCCACTGACATTCCGCATCTCTAGCTACAGCTGTATTTAAAATGCACACACATGATCTGCAGACAGCTACCTGTTTCCACTTCTGCTCTGCACAAGCCGACGGTTATTAATATATGTGCCATGTCTTTGACAAGGTCTATACAGCCCATTCCAGGCGAAAGCTGGTTTCAGTGACCAGCCATGGGAGCACAGTACAACGGACCGTCTTTTGAACGTCGGTGGTCTCTACAGCCGCAGTGACACTCGTGCATTGCACACATTTGCTGCTGAAGAATTATCTTATCTCACAGGTCAGGTGATTTCCTCACAGTACTGAAGAATTGCTATTGCATGTGTGATTGGCGCATGATGCAAGGTGGCCACTTGACCACGCACTATCTAAATGTAGTCCTCCGAAGTTGTCAACACATGCAGCTCCTTACCCATTGTAGCCCGATGTTGTAACTCTTCATTCAGAAGGCGAAGAATGTCCTGAGAATGCTGCATACACAAGTACGATACACATGCCCAAACCAGGGGTGGGTCCAGGATCAATACAAGATGATTCCTGTTTCTTAGTGGAGATAGCAGTAAACACAATAGGGCCCTGCACATTAAACACCCTACCGCCGGGGTCTATGGGATTTTTACGGGATTCTATGAGATTCTACGACATTCTACGGGATTTCGTACATCTGTACAACGTGCATAAGGCTTACACTAGTGTAGATTTAGTCGCACTCGCTGACTGTATATGATCTGGCTGCGTTGGTAGACAGTTGGTCGTCACTCATAACACTTGTCCTTCTCCTTTTTTCTACCATAGCGTAGACTCTATGAGTGTTTTTCTCAGAAGTGTTCGAGTACCAGTAGTGGCTACACAATATACGATGGTCTACAGTCTCTCTCTACACAATATACGATGGTCTACAGTCTCTCTCTCTACACAATCACTTGAACTACTTGTACACTATGCGCCACTGATCATGCAGGTCAACCCCGTGCAGGCTTTAGTTGTTTGCATGCTGATGGATGTAGCCTTACATGTACATGTACATAGCTACATTACATAGCTACATTACATAGCTACATTACATAGCTACATTACATAGCTACATTACATAGCTACATTACATAGCTACATTACATAGCTACATTACATAGCTACATTACATAGCTACATTACATAGCTAGCGGAGCGCACCTGCTCTGTGAATTCAAGTTGTTCAAGTGAACCACTACTTACATGTACGTTGAACATTGTCAGCAGGCGTTCTTTAACACATTCCTATAGGCAGCGGATGATCAGAAAAGCAAGTCCAAAAGAACAAAGAGGATATGGTGAGATCAATCCATAGACACAGTGCCATACCATACAAGAATGGGTAGGCATATGTTGACCATCGTTGCATGCCTCAGACTATTTAGTTACTGTATGAACATCAAGCATGTTTTAACAAGCACATATGTGAAGAAGCGGTACATGTTCACATGCACGCACACACTACACCCGTGCCCCCCCCCCCCCCCCCCCACACACACACTCTCTCTCTCACACACACGGGGCGTCCGAGGTGTAAGCCAACCTCCAGTCTGGGCGAGAGTCACAGGCCACTCTGTACCAGTCCGCTTCAAGGTCTCGTGAGCAGAGGTCCTTCACAGCGCAGTCTTTCCACCGCCGACGTGGGCCATGTGCGGGGCGACGAGATGGCAGGGTGCCGAGCAGCAACTGCTTGGGCAATCGCACGTCGTCCATGCAGATCTCAGCACGTAAACTGCGCAGCCAGTTTGCGCAGGTGAGATTTTCGATCCCAAACGCGTCCAGTGCAGAACCGTGGAAAAGAACATTTTTTCCGAAATAATCAAGTTGAAGAAGACAGTAGAAATGGCTGAATGTTGCGTCCAGGAAAGCACGTTCTACGGCCATCTCCAAGCTACCTTTTTCCCAGACATTCTCTCAGAGGAACTATGGAGGGTCAAAGAGCACAATATTTCACTCTTGGATGCAGCCTGAACACCTCTTCTTCTGGTACCCCAGCACAAGCAAGTACATTCCACATACACTCTCTGGGTACCGAGTCGTAGGCCTTGCGCTAGTCGATGAAAACCATGTAGCCTTTTGTGTAATGCTCGAGAGAGTTCTCCACAAGTTGGCACACAGAGAAGATCATGTCCAAGCACGAGCGCCCACGCCTAAAACCACATTGCGAGTCTGGCAGCAGGGTCTCTGCTGGCCGCTGGAGACGTGTCTGTATGATGGCAGCCAACACCTTAACCACAACATCCAACAGAGCAACAGAGCAATGCCACGCCAATTGTCACACAGTTGTAGGTCGCTTTTTTGGGGGATGGGTACGAGAGTAGCATCAACCCACTCCTGCGGTACCTGTCCGGAGTTCCACACAGCACCAAACAGATCTAACATCCTGTCCCGTAGAGGGAAACCACCGAACTTAACCAGCTCTGGCAAAATCCTGGAGGCGCCAGCAGCCTTGCCAGGCTTCAGCTTATCG